AAAATACATAAAACGTATTTATGAAATTACAAGAATAGAATGTGAATTTACGCGTCTAGTGTAAAATGATATTAAAGACCTGCAGCTTTAAATAATTCAGTTAAAATATCATTTTTTTCTAGCTTTATTTTCATTGTTTTTGGATGTTACAGTATACAAAAAAAATTAATTTAGTTTTTGGCACCCTTGCTGACAGATTTTCACCATTATTTTTCCAATTTATTTCGGAAGTTAGCAGAATATTTAGTCACACACTTCTCCAAATGTGAGGACAAGCCAACCAAAACATATAAAATAAGATGCAATAGTTTGTTGGGGGGTCGCTTTGCAGTTTGTTTGTTTTTTTAAAGTCATGTTTATCATAGCTGCCATCCATGAATACTAATGCCACATTCTGGCTCTTTGTGTGTATAGAAATCGTCTCCGGACGGGACCCCTGCAGTCTCCGGGGTAACGGGACTCCAGCTCAGGCATCCAGTGCGTTAACCTCCGGCTCTGGATGCCATTAATTAGACGGCGGAGGAAGCAGCGGCGGTCCGCTTCTGGTTTCTGTACGTGGATTACGCATCGAGCTGGACATCGCTGTTTTATATGAGCCCTTTCCAAGTCTGGAGTGTCCTCTGCACATGGAGGGAGCCAATTTAAAAAATCCATGTCAATTAGCCTCAGTGGTGAGTGTGCGCCCTGCCGGTGCCGGTCCATAAACCAAACCCCGCCGCCGTCCGGGCGCACAGCGACGTCACGCCGCTCGGAGAGGGGCGTCAGTGCGCCTTTTTATGCGCTGTTTACCGAGCGCAGAAGAGTTTGGACTTGCAGAGCGCATGTGAGCTGTCAGACAATGAAGAGGAGCGACAGAGCCGGACTTCTTCTTTTTCTCGCGGTCTTAAGATGAGAGGCTTTGCGCTGCGGCTGGTGAGCTCGGGAGGAATTCTGAAGGGAACGTTCACAGTTTGCACAGAAGAAATGTCCACAACTACAAGTCCAGCCATCCCCTCCTCTCAGCTGACATCGGACCAGCTCACAGTGCTGGCTGCCTCCTGTAAGTAAACCCCTGAAACTGACACAAAATGCTAGAAAGAAGACTCTAGTAAGAATATATATATTATTTAATTCATATTATCCAATGAGAAACATCTGTCTGAACACTGCTTGCTGGGTATATTTGCATTTATTCTGCAGCACTGTGATAAGGGATGTAGATACTTTTTTAAAATATACTTGCAGTTAATTAAAATGATCATGTTTGTTCTTGACTGACAGTTAAGTCAAAAGAACCTTCAAATGTTCAAACGGTGGAGATAAACTGTCAATCAAAACTGCTCCAAGTGACTCCCCTTGTATTCCCTTTTAAAACTTAACCAAACTTTTACATAATGAAAAAGCAAGAGTGCGACACTGTTCTTTTACAAGTTAAGTTGTTCTGCTTAAGTGGGCACCTTGAGAAGAGACAAAGTGCCTGATTAGGTGTGATAAAGTGACTTTTTTCTCTTTCTCCTGCTCTCAAACAGTTTCTTCTCTGGTGTTCTTTGTGGTTATTGTGGTGCTGCTGTCCATTATTTACCGCAAGGATCCTCAGTGCTGCAGGCTGCGCTCCTATCAGGGGCCACATGCAGACATGGTAAGTCCCTTCATAGAAGAGAAAAACAAAAAAGGAGAAAGTGCCTTTTGTGCTGAGTTTTCTTTCTTTTTTTTAAAAGTGACCTGCGTGCTCAGAGACGCCACCCAATGCAGCGCCGTCAAGAAGTGTCAGATTGAATTTGCATGGCTGTGGGCGAAAGGGACTAGAATAAACTTGATATGATCACGGTCCGCCAGTGGATTTGCATCAGCTGAACTAACTGCCCTCCAGAAATATCACTGAGTGCCACAGTAGCTCTAATGGAAGTGGACACAATTAGCACTCACCACGCACATCGATGCTACTTCAGCACCAACGTAATTCAATCACTGCAAATCAAATTTTGGCAAGTGGAGCAAGCTATTTTTTTTAGGTGACATTTTACCTCACTGTCAGTCAGTTTTTTTTTTACAGCTGCTCCACCTCTAACAGCGCATATCTCTCCATCTACTACTGCTGTAAAGCTGCAGGCGTTGGTGCAGGATGAGGTGAAGAGGAAATGTAAACAGTCCAGAGTGGCAACTCATCATTGGACGCCCGTTCTGTCTGTTTCCTCTTCCTGACTCGTGTCTCACCTCCATTAGTCCCAGGAGCGAGGTTCGAGTGTTATCTTTGGATTGCAGAGACACAACTCATAGCTCTGCTCCTTTAACGGCCAGGAAGCTCTGTGGTTTTTACGGACAAGTTCTGTTCTCCCATTTAAGGAACTAACAGACCGTTTCGCTGGTACAAAGTGGACATGCTGACCTCCAGTTACAGCTGATAAGACAACGCTGGCTGTTGTACTGTACTGTCAGGTCAAGGCAGTAAAGCGCACTTGACTGATTGTAAACAGAGAGAACAAGTGGAGTTATGGGTTAGTTTTTTATGATGCCTGCATTTAAATGTGTTTAAACGTGACAGAAAGTGGAGATTGTTATCCCCTGAGAGGGAAACGCATACAAACTCTCCTCCATTGTGTTTCTGTGGGACTTTTCATGTCTTCAACTTCATAGTCGCATACCTTTCCCTGCTTCAGTTTGCTCTATGAATAGTGGTCAGACCCCACTGTGGGTGTTGGGGACACAACAGGGACAATGGATCTCCTTTAGGTTGCGATGGTGAAAAAAAAAAAAAAAAGCTCACTGCCGCTGGGTTCCTCCCCCGACTTCAACGCTGATTTTACACGGTTGTGCTTTTTCACACTGGCTGACTCAATGGCGGGCGACAAAAGCGCAACTCTCCTTTTCTTTCCTTCTCTTTCCTGAGGACGTTTCTTTTCGCCGCTTAAAAGTACAAACCGTCGAGAGAAAGTGACCTTTGACATCACCTTTTTGCCATCTGATTCTGAAATGATGTGAGGGGTTATGGCAAAGGTCGTCAGAGTGTGTCATCCAAAGTGTGAGTGATGTCATTGTTGAAACCGGCCTGGGAAAATGACAAATCAGACGTTTTGATTGGAAACTGTGTAGTTGCCTCAAAGTTAGAAGGAACCTCCTCAGGTTTAGCAGCTTCTTGTCCTCGTGCTGGATTTAAATCTCAGTCGGGCAACAAATTGACTTTGTTGTAACGCCGAACCAAACAACAAACAAGGCTATAATGTGTGTTGGAGTGTGCTCGTTAAGAGGTACCTGCTGCAGGGGAATAGAGAGACGCTGGAAAGACCACACGGTGCGGCTTGTTGCCTAGGGACCCTGATGACACAGTGGGACATCACATTGTTCTCCACACAAAGGAGACTCATTTAGACCCAAGGCAATTACCTAGTTTTCCTGGCAGCCTTTTTTTTTTTTTCAGGATTCTTGCACCTCATACAGTGAGACACTGATGGGTCTTGTTTTACAGGGAGGGGAGGGGAGGCACGGAAATCGGAGGGTGGTCGCCTTATTGATTAGGTAATTTATGGTATGGCCAAAGCAGCCAGTGCCTACAGTGATTAAACAAGGCATGAAAATTGGTCAATTGGGCTGAAGTTAGTGGATTTCTGACTAATTGCACGCAGAAGAAACCCACAGTACCCAGTTCTAAAATATAAACTGATAAATCTTCAATCATCACGGAAACAGTTTAGTTTATGACTTTTGTGCAGCACCTTTTTACAAGCGGTCCTGTTTGTTTTGCAGGACGCTCCTCCTCAGTACTACAGCAGCAGACAGACGCTGGTGGGATCTCCTTGCCTCGAGCAGACTCACGTCGTCGACGACAGCAACACTCAGGTGAGAGAGTCCAGCTGTGAGTTGGCATCATGTGTCGCTGAGCCAGACGAAGCATCAGTCTTCTCCTCCTGCTGCTGCACACGATGAAGACGGCACCTTTTTTTTTTTTTTACCCATTCTGTACAAAACAATATTGGTGATCAAGAAAGGCTGATATTTTTGAACCGATATACATTAAAGGTGATGTTTTATCTATCATTCATACCAAGGCTCCTTCATTAATAGGAGTCACTATAGCAGACATAGAAGAGATTAAATTATCTCCTCTGTTTAAGTGGAATTGACTGAGATTGATCAGTTTGTCTCCTGCAGTTCTGTCTGCTGTTCTTCCCTGTTTTCTTCATCTTTCATTGTTCCACTCAGGTCCATATCCTACTACATTATTAATTATTGTTTTCCAGGTTAATCTGTAGTTGCCGTTTAACTTGCTGTTAGCTTAGCTTTAGCCACAGAGAGGAGCTAATTTCCTGGTTTGTGGCAACAGCTTGTGTTCCTTGTTCAGTTTTTGCAGCCTCTGTCTGAGAGACACAGAGAGAGAGGAGGCCGCATCAGACCTGAAGTAGAGCATTTAATTTATCCGTAACAGGCCAATAAAAGTACTGAAACCCATAATCGGGAAAGTGCCAAATATGGGCCACGATAATCGGTTTGTCCCTAGTGGAAGTCAGCAGCTCACTGGTGTTCTGTTTAAAGTCAGTGTCAGTGCTTTATTTGTGATCCTTCTGTTTCCCTCCTGTTTTCGTGTGCATCAGCTGTTCTACGTCGGCCTGCCCTCCAGCTACAGCCTCCCCACCCTGGACCCCCCCCTGCCGAGGCTCCCCTCCTACGAGAGCGTCCGAAAGAAGGACCGCCAGAGGCAGATCCACATGATGATTGCAGACCGCTTTGGCCTCAATGGACCCATTGTGACTGAGGTAGGGTTTATCAGGGATCAAGACTGTGTCGCAGCCATTGATACAGTCGCTTTGACAATGAAGCACTTCAGGTGCTGTTGTCCAGCTTGGAAACAGGGAAGATATTTTACTCCTATTATAGTTTCAAAGAAGATCAAAGAACGTCTGCTTCTTACTCACCCCTTTTCCACCTACAAGAACCAGGTGCTAGTTCCTTGCTGGTGCTAGTTCCTTGCTGGTGCTAGTTCCAGTGCTTAGTTGGTTCAAATCTCACACCTCCAAAGAACCTGTTTGCTATTCCATTGGCAAGGAGCCAAGTTAGAGCCATACCTTATGTCACTGCATCCGTAGCTGTTTACCAAACAACGCTCGTGTCATACAGAGGTCCACACAGTCTCCAGACTAACTTTTTTACCAGTGCGACCAACTTTCTCATTTGGTTGCACTTCCTACCTTGTCACAAACAAAACATATGACTTGCTGAACATTTTCTTATTGATAGACGCTACAATTTACAGATGTTCCCCGAACGCCCCGCATATAGCAGGCTGTGGTAGCTGCTGTTGGTGGCTGCGGTGCTCAGACTGGTGCGCGACCAAAAATGACTTTAAAAAGAGTAAACTAGGGCGTTCCAATGTCAGATTTGTCCCAGATGAAACCGAGTTTTTTTCTCGTGCGGTCTTTTCTATGAGCGGAATAAACAGTGCATGTTGGTGCGCTCCGTTTTTCATGAGAAGACCACATTTCTTTTTTAAAGTTACTTTTTGGCCTTTGTTGGATAGTGTAGTCAGAGAGAGAAAGGAAAGTAGGGGAGAAGGACATGTGGGAAAGGGTTATGAGTGGGATTCGAACTCATGACCTCCACATTGGGACTGTAGCCCTGCACATGGAACGCCAGCTCAACCAGGTGAGCTATAGCAGCACCCTAGAAGACCACATTTCTAAGCGTAAATACCGGAGTACACTGAAGTTATAAAAGCACTGTTTTCCACCACTGTGCTGCTACTGGTGGGACACAGTCGTGACGGATTTCAGCACGCAACAGTTTGTGCAAAACATCCGTGTGTCCCAGGACTCATTCCAATACAACTGCGATCGGACCAGAGACGGCAAAAGCGACACAAATCACCACTTGTGTGTCCCGTTCTGTGTTTCTATTGGTCTCACTGGTCACGATAACCCCGCCCCCAACCCCTGACGTACTCGGTTCTTAGCTCTGGCCCAGCAAAGAGTTGGTGCTTGCTGAGGACCAGTTTTGAGAGCCTGGAGCCGGTGCTTAGGTGGTGGAAATGCAAAGAATTGGTGCTAAGTCAGGCTCTGGCTCCGAACTAGCACTGGAACCAGCTCAGTGGAAGAACAGAGGTCTGTCATTTGTGGCCTCACAATGAACAGAGATAATAATACTCTTTCTATTATTACTGTGCTGTCATACAATATTGTAACAAGACCACGTTCTAAGATTAGAGAGCAATAAACAGGCTGCACTATCAGCTCATCTGATGCCTGCTGCCGGTTTGTGCTGGCGGCCGCGTTTCAAGGTTTTACCGTGTTGATCTTTCGCTGAGCTTTTGGTTCGCACAACGCTTGAGCAAACAAGGTAATGAGAAAAAGGCACATCAAACATAATTAAAGCCTGCATCCTGAGTGCAAACAGTGGGCAAGAATGCCGCTTTGTGCTCCTGTCTTCTTCTGTTTTCTCTTCTTTGACCTCCCCTGCTTTTCCTTAATTAAACACTAGCATGACTGCCCGTCTCTTACGCACACATGAAAACACATTCACGCACAGTAATGTCCAGTCATCCCATTATTATTGGCTCAACAGCATCTCCACCCCTCATTTGAACCGCTCAGATGATGGCTCCTTAATTTCCCCGTCGGTCCTGCGGCCGGAGGCTGGACGGTGGTAAAACTTTGCAGCCTGGAGTGTGTCAGGTGGAGGTATTGGGGGTTGCAGGGTTGCTCTTGTCGCCTGAGGGTCCCCAAGCAATTAAAAGATAAGAGGACTCAGTCAGGGAGCGTGAATCTGCCAGATGTGATCGGAAAGATAATGTATTTGAGAAAAAAAAAATGTTCCAGGCAGCTAAGGGGGATTAATTGGTAATGTAAATACAAACATGCTCTACTTATTCTCTGGGATGGATTCCAGACATTTCAGGCCTCAATAACATTTTCTATCTACTTTTTATTTTTATAAAAAACTTTGTGAATGTCACCTTTATTTTAATGGTTCAAAAGGCTCCCCATCCTCATATGAGACAGGTTCTCCCTTTCAGCAAGCACAAGGCACAAGGATTTATGCATTATAACTTTGTCATACGAGAAAAAAAAACAACACTTTTTTGAGTTCCCTCTCCTCTAGCCATAGTTGTGTTGTTTCCATAGAGATGAAGGATTTTATTTTGGAGTGAAAAATGAGCCCACGGTGAGTAAAAATGAGAACGGAGCAGAAAACACCCAGATACTGCTTGGAGTTCAGAGGGTTCCATTTTGGTCTTTGCTGTGCTGAATAAGTCTGTATTCTCAACAAAGTGACATCAAAGTATTCAGTTCAAAAAATGTGCATTCAACGTGAATTTCAATGAAGCTCTGCAGTTCAGTGTTCTGAGTCTGTATTCTGTTTCCTGCAGCCTCCTCCGACGTATGAAGAGAGCATCCGTCAGTCTGTGGAGCTGCCGTACGACATCCTCTCATCCAGCCTGGACGTCTCCTCGCCTCCGAGTTTCTGCACCAACGCGGAACCCGTCACTCAGACCGACACGGCTCGTCCAGCCGACACCAGCGGCTCCGTTCTACCGGTGTGACGCCGATCGAGTCCTCAATCTGTCCGACGAATGTGAAAGATTTCATGCAGACGGAGTGACCAAATCGCACGCCTTCTGTATGAGCTGACTCAGATACCTCAAGGCTGTTTTTACTGAGAAGCGGCTAATGTTGATCATGAGCTGAGGAGCAACCAAAAAGAAGCTGCATCTCCTCAAAGGAAAGGGCACATATGAATGTTAAAAACTGAACTCTACAATGAGGATCAAAAGAGAAACGCTGGATCTTCCCAAACTTAAGGTGGCTGGTACATCTTGAAGACTGCACGACTGAAACAAACCAAAAAGGGAACCACTACTGTCTTCGTTGATTCCAGCGACGTGGATTGTGTTCTAATCATGAAAATGTGTTTTTCTCTGTTTGTTCCACTGCTTTATTTTGCTGATCCTGAGTGAGAAGCCTCACTATGGTTTTAAAGAGAGCTGTTTGATTTTGAGCGGCTGTAAATCGATTTCTTTACCCTGCTGAAGAGGCGCCTGTGAGAGTAAAACAAAAGGTGCTAATGAGAGTGCCTTTCACCGAGTTAAAAAAAGACGTTTATAACAGACACTTTTTTTTCTTTTTTCTTTTTTTTACCACATTGCTTCAGTTGATTTAGTGTCTTTTGAGGCAGATGGACCTCTGTGAATTTTCGCTTTTTGTTTTTGAGTCAAAGTTATTAACTGTAACTTTTGTAACCATGTACACACGCCATATTTTTTGTTTTTTTTCCTGGTTCTTCCTCCTGCATATGTCTTGTATTTATTGAAGAAAATTGAATGACATCGTGTTATTTCTCTGTGGAAACAGATGTAATAAATACTGCTATTGCTTTGTTGATGGGTTGTTGTAATTACAAAGCAGCAGCTTATGAATCTTAGAGCCCAGAGCAAGAGGATACATGAGTTCAAATGTAGGCGTGTGAAAGACAGACAGAGAAAAGTCACGAAAATGAATAAGGAGAGCGTTATCTAACTAGTTTCTCTGAGCTTCTATTTTGCTTGTGTAACTTGTTTGCTGAGAATTATGAAACTCAACTATCTCCCTAGTTGTAACCTTTTCAAGCTCATCTCAAGATAAAATTAATGTACAAAAATAAAACGTACTGAACTCCAAATACATCCTGCATTTGTCTCTGCAGCCAGAAAAAAAGAATATTTGACAAGAATAATATTTTATGGACGTGTTAACCTCTACTGACATGTTTCCGTAGATACACATGTCCCAAATTAGGTTTGTGTTTCTCTGCTGTCAGAAAAACATCTGTTATTACTTCGTTTGAGAGAATCCATTTATCAGGTGGTAAATATTCTACAGAAATAAAAAGCAAATATTAGGAACTTCTTAATTAAGATACTGATTTCAGTATTTAATTAAAAAACCTTTTCATGATATTCATTGACAGTAAATGTCCCTCTGTTGATTGTAATCATCAATATCTTAAAGAAATACAACCAGTTTGCTCCTCTGTTCAACTAAAAATATTTTTACAAGGAGCACCTCTGAAAATTCAGTCATTTCAAATTTAAGTATGCGCTGACATGGATAAAGTTCACTGTGAGCTTCATGTTTTTCCTCTAAAAGAAAAAGAGGTCATCATTTCATTAGAGGATCAAATGTTTTTTGAGGAGCCTGCAGGCAAAATAGACAATCATCTAAACCATCCAACCCTTTTTACTGAAAGATAGTATTGTTTGTGAATATCTGGACTTTCCCAAATAAAACGTCCCACAGACTGTGATCACAAGGGATCAATTTCTGGCATCATCGTCTGAATGAAAACTTATTTTTCAGCAAAGTATAAATGTTCCAGAAACTTTAATGGCATAATCGTGTTACTGGAAGTAGTCACATTCTCTATCATAATCTTAAAACTGTTGAAATACCCTGTATTTGGGGTTTAGGTCTGTTTTAATCACATTCAGTTACACAAGCATCAGATGAACTTAGAGTAAAAAGTGTATCTAGTGGTCAGGAGAGGAATTGTCATGGTCTTAGGTTTTGGTTGAGGGTTTTGTTTTTGTGATTCTTCCTGTTTGTGTTTTCCTTTTCTGGTTCCTGTGACCTTCTGTGTGTGTCTCTTTGACTATGTGTAGGTGTGATTTCCCTTTTTAGTTACTTCCTGTTATATTTTGAAATTGCCTTTAGTTCGTTTCACCATTGTCTCCACAATCAGTTCAACTGCCTTGTCTCCCTCTTGTCTTTGTTACGTCTTCCTGTTCATCACCTTGTTTATCTGCTTCGGTTTGAACATTTAGTTTCTTGAGACTTTGTGTGTGTTTTTTATGTTTGTTTGTTTGTTTTTTAAAATTTATTTCTTGCTTCAGTTTATGCCATGCTTTTGCTACCTTTTCAGATTATTTTGTTGTTGTTGTTGTTAAATTTTTGTCAATCTATCAGTTTTTTGTATCTGCTGTTTGATTAAAGACCCCTTTTAGTTTCTTACAAACCTGCTGTTGGGGTCTGCATTTAGGTCTGAGGGGTGGTGTAACTTCTTAACTCAGTGGATCATCTTACATCTTCACCATTCAATCGGGCCAGCTTTTAGTAAATGTCCACAGTGGGACGAACTTTGAAAATCCGCCCCGTCATTGAACTTGATCCCATTTAAAGGTCAACCTTTACATGGGCCATGGACCTGTGTATGAAACATTTAATGCATCTGGTTATGTTGATTCTGCTTTTATCAACTTTAAATAGGTTTATCTGCATGTTTTGGAAGTAACTATTGCTGTCAAACAAATGTAGTGGAGTAAAAACACAATATTTTCCCTTTAATTTGCAGCAATGCACTCATTTCAAAGAGAAATTGAAATAGTCTAATTTAACAATAGTAATACTGAGTTATTTCCCAACACTTTCAATGGGTTCATGTTTACTGGCAGAAACCACAGGAATACAAAGTTAAAGACAGCGTCTCCTTTAAGTCCTCACCAACATGGCTGCCAACTGCGTCCACTGGAGCGTCGCTTTCGTCACCGACGGAGAAAACCGAACCTTCCCGAGCAGCCGACAGACAGTCTGGTATGTAAACAAGGTCAGACACTGCAGCATACAGGCCAAACACTTTTGGACCGGGCAGCCACTCGCATTTAAGACAGGAGGAGAATCAAATAACTTCACCGGAACTCTGAGGAACAAGGTGAGCTGCGCGTAAAGCTGCGCATTTTGATCAGCCGTGTTATTGTGCAGGATGCACTGCAGGGACGGATTATATGAGATTAACGTGTGTACATGTATAAATGTGTCATTCTGCTGCATGCACAGCATTAGAAAAATCAGTTTGCAATGTGTGGAAGGTGTTGCGTTGCGCATATAGTGCAGATTTGCCGCAAAGTCACACAGCAAGTGTGTGTTTACTTCATGCGCAGTCATCAGCTGCTCTCGAACTGGGTCGCTGTCTCTCTGCAAAAAAAAAAGCTGCATGGTCATGTTTTCCCACAACCTGAATGAATCCTTTCTAGACTAGACTCTAGCCTCATAGTTTGGTTAATTCTGGTAACATGTCATTCTGATTTAATGTGCATCTCTTGTGTTTAGTGTAAAGCAGCATTTGAAACCATCATATTAACTGCAGTTCAGGTGCAGGATACAGATACCTGAGTGCTGCAGCCAGGTGGAGCTGCTTTGGGCCTAACCAGGGCTGCTCTTGAGTGATTCATAAAACTGCAGAGGAACACAATTTCTCAAAGTGAAGTGGGGTGACGTGCAAGTGCAGGCTTTGTGTGTTTTCACCCACATCCTCCTCAGTCTGGGTCTGCGTGAGAACCAGTTCAGACTGGTCATCCAATCTGCCAACCAGACACACACTGAGCTCATGCATTTTTCTGACGAAGGAGAGCAAAAAAAGTGAGGAAGGCAGAAAGAGAGGCTCACCAAGGACACAGTCAGTCAGACAGGCGGCATGCAGGGCCTGTCACGTTTCACACCGCCGGCCTTTACTGCTCCATTCTGCTCCGGTTAATCATCACATCTGGTGTCTGCTTCTAATCTGTGACCTCCTCAAAGTCTCTGTGGCTGAGACCGTTTGACTTTGTTTGTGCCTCATTCATATGTATTTTGTCAGTGACGTCCAAACTGATTTTAATTTTAACAAGCAATTGTGATCACACTCAGATGTTGTGTTTTCTAAACAATTCTTGTGATTAAAATTGCAATATATCTTGGTGCAATAAACAAATCACAAGAGCTGCAATGTTTTGATAACGGCAAAATGTGTCACAACATACCATAATAAATAAAGGTGCCACAAATCATATTCTGCAGGCGTAAGGGAACATGCAAAGCAGCAAAAACCCCGTCAGCGTTTGGTTATTCGTTTTAGTGGGACAATGCAAAACAGCCCTGACTCATATTGCAATATCTCTCAAGGTAATCAGGTTTGTTGTCATCCTGCTGCCAAGTGAAGTTTCCATCACGTGTTAAATGATTTGCATGACATGCCGGAGTTTTGGAAGTAAACATGAGCAGTGTTCTGGTTCAGAGGCCGCCTCCTTCGAAGGAAACAGATTGCGACGATGCGCCCTTGAAGCAGTAATGTCATGTGACCACTTTGAGTATTAACTCATTTGGGATCATAAAAATGGGACAGTTTAATGAAAAAGTTTCTCTCAGATTGCTGTGATGTTTAAATGCACCAGTGTAATCTTGAATGCGTTGTGTCAATGCTGCAAATTATGATGTTCTTACAAGTAACGTTAGACATGTAAGTAACATTTTTTTTGTCTTTCACTGCAGGACGTGAACAAAGACGAGCCAAAATGATGCAGTGTTTTCACTTCATGGTGGAGCCGGCCAAAAACTTCACGGCCAAGATCAAGGTAACACATTTTTGGCTCACTGGGGTAAAAACATTGTGTGTTTAATGTTCAAACCTGTTATGCACTTGGCAGAAGGTTTTTAGGTCACCTTGGTGCTTAAGCAGACAGTTGACATGACAACATTTTTCTAGCAGCACATGACTGCTTGCGTTTATCCCCCTCCTGGTTTAAATTAAACCAGAGGAGGAAAGAGCTGCTGTATGCAGGGAGTTGATGAGATGAATCCAGGCAGAGACTCGGGGTGGGAGGGAAGTCTTTCTTTTCTGCTGACGGGATCAGAGGCGCGATGTGCATTTTGATCAGGCTAAGTGACCGCCTCCTCTCTTGATTGACCTTATTACTTTCTAAAGCACTCGTGAAGCAGCACTAATGTCCTCTGAATGTCTTTTTTTTCCCTTCTAAAAACTCTGTCCCTCATCCAAATAGTTTCTCACAGAAAATCTGCTGCTTGTGTTTCCCTTGTAGGAATCGCACAAGAGAGCAAAGAAGGAGAAGAGGGAGCCTCTGGATGAGGATCAGCTGTTTGTTGTGGATCTGGCTCGAGACGTCAGCCGAGTTTGCCAGGTACAGCGTCTAAGGACTGAATCAAATATTAGTGTAGTTTTTCAGGACTGCGCAGGTTACAAACATTCTTAGATTGTTCGCAAAGTTTCTCCTAGAACCAGAAGGCAAATTAAATAACAATATTGGTAACAAACCACCTTTTTTTTTTAATCAATGAAAATCAGCCAAATGAAAAATATAGTAAACTTCACTTGCTCAACAAAATAATCACAGTAATGAGCTGTACAATGAGAAGCTTTGAGTCTTTTAAAGATCTGCTCTGCTTAAAGTTTTAATCTCAACTTCTTCACATGGTGTCTTTTATTTGCTGGAAGACAAGCAAAATTAGCGGTTAGTGCCATGGCAGCAGTGTACAGATGACAAAACACAGATTCAGGCTCAGTTTCAAATATGTGCAACTGAACTACTTTAAAATTATAAATTACTCTGTAGCAGAGAGTCATACATGAGCTGGTGTGCTGAGCTGCAGCAATACCTGCTAGATCTAAGCCATTTTGAGGAATTAGGGGATTACTTAATGGAGAAAAACATTGATCTTGATGCACAAAGATGAGTTTTCAGGGATTAAATCGATGACCATTTAGGCATGTTCAGTCTTCAGTCCTGTTTCTGCTTCCACTTATCCCATATTCTGTTCTCTCTTTGGCCACTTTGCAGAGATCAGCAGTTCTGGAGCACATCTGGAACCAAGATGACACCTGGCCAACTGCTCTCTGCAGGAGCTTCATCCTGCAGTGGGCCTCCATGCTGGAGAGCAAGGTGCTCATCTGAGGAGTTTCCAGGAGAAAGTACAGGAGCAGAATATAATTTCACCTCCTTAAGAGGTACACTCACTAAATATCTCTCTGTGTGCAGAAGAGGCCCATGCAGACTGACGGCTGGCCAGAGGTAGATGGGGACAAACACCCTGATCAGATTAATGAACAGGACCTGCTGAAGGCCAAAACTGTGATCCTCAACTGGATCAAGGATCTGAGAGCTCAGCCTGAGGTGGGATGTTTAAATAAACATTTATCTGTTCCTTGAAGCAAACCTGCTGGCGACACACATTTTAATTTGCATTGATGATCTTGCAGCAAAGCGTGTGGCCCGGAGAACCTGTGGCGAAGGTTTTGGAGGACCTGCAGTCAGCCTGGCGTTGGGGTCGCGCTCCCAACCTGCTGACTGCTATGGAGCTGGTGATGTGGACTTTAATGTTACAGCGACCCGATAAGGTAGGAGTCTGTAGTATGAGTCATATAATTAACTCTGTGTGTGTGATCTGCAGCTCAACAGTGAAGTATTCTCCTCTTGCAGGACACCATTCCACAGCAGTGGCTTCTGTGGAAGCAGAAGACACAGAAAATTGGTTTGTACATCAAAAATGAATCAGCTTTGTTGCATATTTGAAAAATTTCACGTTCTTATGAGGTTATTATCTCCTTCCAGGTGCCATATCCTACGTTCCCCAACCAGGTGAGTGATGTACTGTAAGTCAGCATCCGCACTGAATTATTTAAGCCATAGCAGCACTTTACTGGGTTTTAGTTACATCTTGGCTGCTTGCCATAGTAATCAACAATATAAAGGTTTTGTGTGAAACTCGAACAGCCACATGGTTCAATATTTGCAAAAAGTGTGGATGATGTGCACAATCAAGTCCATCAAGGCAAAAAAAGAAAAGAAAATCAATCCAGCAAGTTTTTTATCAGGTAACATTCATGTGAGCTAAAGATTACAAATACAGACAATAATGACAATTTCACCAACAGTTAGAAGATCATGTGATATAAAAAACTATAACAATGAAAGAAAGGACTGTAACCCATTTTCCATAAATTACATATATTTACATTTTTATTTACTTTTTTCTTAAACTTTAGTTTTAAAATATACATTTTTTATAGAACAAAAAAGACAATTTAGATGTTTTTTTTCTAGTTAGTTTTAGGTCAAAATGCTGGGTCCATTTTTCAGTTTTCTGTTTTGTTAGCTTAAAAATTTTAGTATTTTTCTGAACATTGTCATCTTCACTATAAATTCAATTTTCATATTCAGTTTGGTGTTTATGTCATATGTAATATTTGTATGGTTTAAGTATTTTTACTTATTTAATAATATTTTTATTGTGTCAATCTGCTTTATTTCATTACCTTTGATTATTAACTGTTAACATTAATAATATATTCACGACAATCAGTTTATTTTGTGTAATATTTGATCAATTTACTTTTTTCACACTATTTTTTATTACTTGTATTATCCTTTATTGTCTGAACTCCTGTCATTTCAGTGTTCATGTTTATGTTTCATGTTCAGTTTTGTTGTTTTGGTGTGCATTAATCTCTAAATTTCTCTTTAACATTCGCTCTTTTGTCAGTTGTTTAAGAAGCACTTTAAATTGCATTAGGTTTGTTTGAAAAGTGCTATATAAGTAAAGTTTGAGTTGTTGATTTATTGATTCATATTCACTTTATGAGCCTTTAATACTCAGAACACAGCATTTTTTCTGTTAAATATCTTCATGATGTTGTATTTACACCATCAAACAAACATTTCTTTGTTTTTTTTGCAGTGTGGGACTGGATCGCTGATGCTGCAGGTAAAACATTCACTTTCATAAAAGATTTAGTCCATATAATCAGCCTGTCTGGTGGCTCAAACCGTGCTTCTTTCTCTGCAGTGGAGGTGACTCTGGACCTGGACACGGCCAACCCTGACCTGCTCATCACTGATGAGAAGAGGATGCGCTGCGGCTTTGAGAGGAAAGATGTTCCCAACTACCACCAGCGTTTCGACGGCTGGTGGTGCGCCGTCGGAGTGGAGGGCCTTGACTCCGGCCGCCACTACTGGGAGGTGGAGGTGGGGGAGCGGGACTGGCGGCTGGGCGTGGCCAAGGAGTCGGCCCTGAGGAAAGGCTTCAAGTCCCTGAACACAGATACGGGTTACCTGACCCTGCGGCTGGAGAGGGGCACCGAGCTGAAGGCGCTGACGGTGCCCTTCACCGCCCTGCCACCCGGCCTCATCCCCCGCAAGGTGGGCGTTTACCTCGACTATGACAACGGCCAGCTGTCCTTCTACGACGTGGAAAGACACTTCCACATTTACACCTACAATGAGAGCTTCGGTGAGAAGCTATTCCCTCTGTTTGGCACCGTGGAGATCATCAAGGATCTGGTGATCAGGTCTCCAGCAGCCAAAACCCAGTGTCTCTGCTCCACATCCTGCCTCTGGGGTTGAGCTTCTCTCCATCACCTATTCAAAAACAAGTAGACATCATAATAAAGTATAACAAACCAGAATCACAGGGAGGAATCCTGATGTAAAAGACCGTCATTGTGCTATTAAATAGCTCCACTATGTGACCACTCTGTATGCCGCTGCTGCTGCTTTAAATGTGATTGTTGCACTTTCTCACTATAGACTTATAGTGCTCCCCTTTGCTGACATACATAATGTATTTTGTTATCTTTAAAAGGTAACCAATAGTGTTAATGTTATGTACTGTGCAATATTAATCCTGCAATGACAATGCACTTATGTGAATAATAAATAAACCAAATCCATGTCTTAAATCTTGGTCTGTTTATTAATGCGTCGACATTATAATAGGAGTTAAATACATAAGCCATAACTTAAGATATTGGTTTGTGGAAGAGAAAGGAAAATAGACTCTTTAGACTGAAAGAGAAATCTGACTGGAGAGCTGAAGTAAGACTTTAAAATTAAGATCCGAGCACCAATATCTTCTTTTGTTTTAAACATTGCAGAAAAATTGTGTTTGCCGTCAGACATCAGATTTTCAAATAAAAACATTATTTCCAGAAAACAAGCCCATGTCCAGACATTCAACCTCCCCTGAGGGCTTTATAACTCAGAGGCCTCAGAAGCTGTCTGGCTACCTTTAGACTTTCAGAAAATATCAAAATCTTCATCTCTGGTAGCAGTCGGAGGCAGAAGATATTTAATGTTCTCTTTATAGCAAATGAAACAGGAAAACTGAGTGATTACATGAGAACAGGTGTTTGAAATGGGTTTATTCTTAAAAAATAATTTCAGATGCATTATAATCAAAAGTATACGGCCACAAGAACAGTGCTCCGATGCATGTTCACATTAGAGCACTATTCACTCCATTTATTCACACCATGTACTATATAAATCTTCACATTTTCTGGTGAATAATTTACACATTCTTTGTTATTGACTCTGCAATACTTGCTTTCTGTCTAAATCTAACGTTATCTGTAATGCACCAAATCACCACATCAAATTCCTCGCATGTGTAAACCCACTAAATTTTAAATACTATATATATTGTTGGGTGGTTTAATCTACAGTAATGCAAATCAAACATTTTAGTGTCGCTGTTGTGTGAGAATTACATATCTCTAAAAGTCAGTTTTTCTTGTGCTTGGAAAGGAATATTCTCAACTCATAAGGGCTAAAGGCTGAATAGTTTTCACAGGACAGGAAGGGTATGAAAAATTGTAATTTGAAAAATAACTAGTAACTAACTAGTATAAAGCTGCACAAAATGGAAAAACTCAAGCAAAGTTCATATACGTTTGTGGTGTCTTTAGGCCTGGACATTAAACCGTTACATGTTTTATGAATAGGACTGAATCTCAAAATAAAAATAAAATAATATTAAATCCCACTGTCTATTCATTGGTTATTTCAATCAGGCCTCCAAAGCAAGATGACATTATTGATCAGACATATAAGTAGTACGTTCAGGGTACTCTTCCTATCATTGAAGCAGCACTTCACTCTACTTGGTGCATTTGAAATGAGCATGAGAGAAAGAGAGCACCCCAATTACAGGGCTTGTCATTGTTGGTATCTGGTTGTAGCTCGTTAATTCACTGAGGCAAGGCTTCAAGACTGTGGATATAAGAAGCTTTTTCAGAAAGTAAAAAGGAATGAAGGCAGTGAGGCCCAAGGGAAGGTGGAGGAGGAGTCATCTCCTGTTGGATAAGTTGTCATTAGGCCAAACATGGACAGAGTTTTCAACATTTTTTGTCAGCAACACAGACACCAGATTGACTTAGATTATTATTAGTTATTTATTTGGAGCATTGTGTTATGGAACCTTATGTGTGTGAACTTTTCCTCCTCACCAGCTTCTACTTCTCTAAGCCTGAATTACTTAAAGGATCAGTACACAAATTACTATTGAATCAAACACTTCTGTTTTTGTGTGACGAATATTATGTTTTATATAGTAAGGCTTCCTTTATAGTTCTACACATAGGGCTTATTCTGTACCGTGCTAGGTACTTTTACTCTGTTACCATTCTGTCCGTTGTTGCACAGAGCTGGAAAAAGTTTTTGCTAATTTCCCTTTGGGGACAATAAAGCACATTTTATCTTATCATAGCTAGCAACGAAAACTGGCTTCTGTGGCGCAGCTCAGTGGTTAAATGGTTTGGTCACAAGGCACACCTTTGTAATTATGTGTTTATAGCTCAGTATATCATCATAAAAAAGATTAATTCCAAGGCACACAGTTAAAGATTTAAGGGCCAGTCCACTTGCACTCAGTGTGATATTAATGTGGGATGAATCTTCCTATTCTAAGTCTCACATTTTAAACTCATTTTTACTCTGTATAGCTTAGAAACTGGTATAATAACCAGGTTAAAATCTACTATTCATACAGTGTATCATGTATATAATACATTTTATGTTGTCTAGCAGCTCTGGTCAGCTGAAAGGTGTGTACCAGCTCAACCAATCAGAGAGCTCGAATACATTCATCCAAAAATGGAAACTTATTTTTAAACTACAGTACCACAAATAAAGTTAATATTTGATAACTATAGGGACAAACAGCATGGAACGAAATGCAAAACTCTGATTTAAAAAAAAACAAAAAAAAAAACCACTCCTATTTTCATTTTCAGTTTTTATTGTCATGACGTCATCGGCGTGCGACGAAGCCAAAGAGGCTTATATGAGTTCGTAACAGACCGAAAAACGATGACAACAAGTTTAAAACAGGCTTTAAAAACCCACTTTGGGTTCGACAGCTTTAGGTCGAAGCTACAGGAAGATGTTGTCAAAGCGGTTATCAGGGGTAAGTCAGCGAACAGTGTGTTTTTAAGCTCTTTGTATCTTTGCTAATTAGACGTTAGCTGATTAACTGCAACTGCAAAACTTATCTGGCGTTTTCCTCAACGTTGGAACACGAGGCTGAATTAACTCTCACAGGTAGTGTTGGTCATAGGGTGACTCGGTGTTGACTGTGGTCCCCTTGCAGGTGACAGGGACGTGTTTGTGTGCATGCCCACTGGGGCAGGAAAGTCCCTCTGCTACCAGCTGCCTGCGATGCTGGCTGAGGGCATCACTCTGGTTATATCCCCGTTAATCGCCCTCATTCAGGTCAGTCTCTGATCCTCCTACTCCAATGCAAACCCTAAAACATACTACAGCTTGTGTGTGCAGTATCATGTAAACCCCTTCATGTGTTCCTCCCCAGGACCAAGTGGATCACCTGAGGGATCTTAACATCCCCGCCTGCTCCATCAACTCCAAGCTCCCAGCAGGTGAACGCCGTCTGATCATGGCCGACCTGGAGAGCAGCAGCCCCAAACTCAAGCTGCTCTACATCACTCCGGAGATGGTGGCCTCACCTACGTTCCAGCCGTGCCTGAATGGACTGTGTTCCCGCAGCCAGCTGGCCTACCTGGCCGTGGACGAGGCTCACTGCGTGTCTCAGTGGGGTCATGATTTCAGGCCCGACTATCTCAAACTGGGAGAGCTGCGGGCTCGCTTACAGGGAGTTCCCTGTTTGGCTTTGACGGCAACAGCACCCAAGAATGTGCAAGAAGACATTGTTCAGTCCCTGAAAATGAACTTGACACTGTCTTTTGTCACACCTGTTTTCCGCAAAAACCTGCACTATGATGTGATCTTCCGGGAGCTGCTGCCGAACCCCTACGTCCACCTCCATGCCTTTATCAAGAAGGCGCTGGCGCTGGACAGTGGGTCTAACGGACAGGTTTGTAAACTGGACTCTGTGAGGTGTTGTAATTCTTTGGAAACAGAAATGTCTGAATAGAATAGTTAAGCAAAGCCTAAGATGTTGTGTTGTGTTTCTACATGCCATAACACTCCTTCAAAGTTTGTGGATTCATCCAAAACAATATAAAGGCTTTAAAAGCTCTAGATTTTTTTTTTAGAGCCACGATACCTTCATATCCTGAAGTCTCAAATGCAATTTTATGTTCGTCACCGTAAGATGACATATAAATTGTATTTTGTTTTTCATACATTGGTAAATAGAACTCTCAGACTCAATTCATTTCAGGATCCCTACTTGACATCTTGAAGAGAACTCTGTTGTGAACGTTTGCTTTGAAATAGGAGCAGTTTTATTTTGAGGCTTCTTGAATGTGTAACTTTGACAGATGTCATACTTCCCTTCCAGCAAGGCTGGATCCCTGAAATCCCATAAATTTAGTTGCCACAGCGATGCAGAGTCTGCTTGAAGCATAAAATTCTCTCTGCGTCAACATTCTGCTCAGCTATGATGACAAAACGCAAACAGTTTAATCTACAGCATTCAGCTGGACAAATAAAGGCTTTTATCTGTATTATGTGCTAAACTTCTTGCTTGCATATCACCAAAGATGTATGCTTATACAGAGAATATCAGTCAGTATGTTTTCCATAAAGATGCTGATTTCCTCATTATATCTTGTGTGTGATGTTTGCAAGCAGGGTTGTGGGATTGTGTACTGTCGGACAAGGGACGGTTGTGAGACAGTAGCTTACCAGCTGACCAAACTTGGAATTTTGTCGAAGGCTTATCATGCAGGTAAGATGAGTTTTTTTTGTGTGTGAAGGTGCTGATAAACACAAGGATTTGGCCTTAAGTGTTCTGCTATTTCAGGTCTGAAGTCTGGAGATCGCACAGAGGTCCAGAATGAGTGGATGCAGGGGAAGGTGCTGGTTATTGTTGCTACTATAAGCTTTGGCATGGGAGTAGATAAAGCCAACGTCAGGTAAAACCATAAACCTGAGCTTTTTAGTACATTCATACAATATTCTGTAGATTTAGGATTGTGTATGCTGGTGTTTTTGCAGATTTGTAGCCCACTGGAACCTCGCTAAGTCTCTGGCCAGCTACTACCAAGAGTCTGGGCGAGCAGGGAGAGACGGCCTGCCCTCCGCCTGTCGAACATACTACTCCGCGAAGGACAAGGAGCAAATTAATTTCCTCATCCGCCAGGAGGTCGGCCGGAAGCAGGTCAGATTAACGACAGAACACACAAAGTATAAAGAACTCGTAATATTTTAGAGATTTCTGAAAATCTCTTCACCTTGTCTGCAGGCAAAACGTGGCTCTGCAAAGGAGAGTGACAAAGCAGCCATCACGGACTTTGAAGCAATGGTGCTGTTTTGTGAGAAAGAAGGGTAAGTGAAGTATTCAGTGCACACATGCTGTTAAAGTTTCTTTTTTAAAAAATTATGTACAAGTCAAAGTAAGCAGTACAACAAGTGTGGAGTCAAAGCATCACATCATTACATAACGGCTTCAACTATTGCACATTTATAACATGCAGTTTTAGATATAAACATAGCTTAAGACATTATAGTCCCTTTCTGTACAGCAGAGGGCACACTTGCTCTCTCTTCATGCTTTCTTGTGTATGTAAGAAAGCACGCTTTCAGGTTTCCCCCTTAGGAGCTTCTTACCTAACTCTGTGTCTGATGGCTAATTTTCATTCTCTAAGAATGACACATAGTTGGGTTCAGAAAAGCATTAACAAACCAATTTGGCTTTTCCTTTCATATCTCACTGTGCAGCTTGCAGTTTTTTAATTAGCCCTACGCAGGTTTAATCCTGTATATTCCAAGCATCGCCTGCATTATTAAAGACAGTGGGAGCCGGCCCTGCCTTTTCCTCAGGCCAGAGGTGTTGTTGTTATGCAGGGATGCTTGGGGAAAAGTAGATTCTCCTGAAGGTTTGGCAGCTTTAGCAGGTGTGTTTGGCAGCCTTTCAGGACGTCGTTCTCTGTGTCGCTGTGTGTTTGTCAGGTGCTTTGCTGTCCAAGGGTTGGGCCTCATAAGTGTCACTGACACACCCTGTTTATGTGTGTCTATTACATGCCCAGGACTCCTGAAAATTAGTTTTCATTCACTTTGGAAGACACTTTGTGCTTGAGAGAGCTGCAGAAAAAGTCTGTTTTGTGTTTCAAGGATGTTTTGCCCCATCTACCGTGCTTCGATGCCAGATTAGAAAGTTTGGCATCCAGAGATCGGCTGTTTAATTAATTCTTGATGCTTAAAGCAAATTCATCAAACGCTGGGTCCCTTTAGCTTGATCTTGCGACAGCAGCAGCAGCTCACGCAGGTCAGCACTATCATTAGCAGGACCATCACTGTGAGGGAACAAATCAACAGTGTCATGACCGGCTCATTCTCAAACAACAAGAAATACTCGATAACAAAGAGCTGAGACTCACGGATGAAGCTTAAGAGGATGAAGAAAGCTCCCAGCTCTATAGGGTTGGCGTTAGGCAGACCTCGCAGCTTGTCCCACACCCTGTTCAGGAGGTTCAGTGTCTCTTCTCTGGCATCCATCCTGATGAGGCAGAAAGGAGGTGGATGCCCTTGAAGTGAAAAGATCATTTTTCAATTCAGCTTACACAGTGTCTCATTTACTAGTCTCATCAGAATCAGAATCAGAAAGCTTTATTGTCATTGCTCCAAGTAGTACAACGAAATTTGCTGTGCTTGAAATAACACTATACACCACACACACACACACACACACACACACACACACACACACACACTTACACACACACACACAGGGTATAGCTCCTGGTGCTGTTAGTGTGTGACACGACATTACTGGTGTGGTGACTTTCAGCTTTTTGTCTGTGAACATGATGAGGTGCAGCTTAGCAGTTTCTCAACCTGTGGTTTAAGTGAGGCACAGGGAGGATTACAGCGAGGCGGAGAGTTTCACTGTCTGGGAGGGAACATGTGCAATGCACTGTTGCAAAGTGAGAGTGAGTCTGTTTACTGTCGTAATGATGCAGGGGGGTGGTGCAGGGTGATCAGCATAACTAGCAGGTTAACCCCCTCTGTCAGGGTCTCTGTAAAACAACCTAACAAAAGTAGAATAACTGTGCTGAAGCGATAAACACAAGGCTCTCCTGTCACCTGTCTTCTTGTTCTCAGTATGTACGGACTAAAGGGTGGTGGTGGAGTGTCAAGTTATACGTGATTTACAGTTCACTCTGTTATTGTGCTCCTGCTGAATTGCTGAAATGGGTGTGACAGCCTGTGGCATTCCTAACTTTGCTTGCATTGCTTATTGTGCATAACAAAACTATTTATTTATTTATTTATTTTTTAGAAATTAACAGCACTGATACCGCTGTCATGTAGCTCTTGTGTATGTAGCTTGAGCTAGAAGCTAGCTAGCTTAGCTTAGGACAAAGACAGCATACATGAGGAAACAGTAAGCCTAGATAACACAATCCACCTACCAGCTGTATTAGGAGGGGTTACAGGAGGACAAGTTGCCAGCAGAGACTCTAGAAAGATTGTATTTGTTTCTGCATACACACTAGTATCCTGGTCATAATCCAGGATATCCAGGATACAAAGTATTTTTGTTTAAAACATCTTGTCCTGGTTGTAGAAGCCTGGATAAGGTCTCACCCTGATTTTGAGAAGCTTGGATGTGTCACCTGGAGAGATCTGACAGAAGTCAGGACACCGCGGCATGTAAACACGTTAACCAGGTTTCAGGTTTTAGCAGCTTGGCTTCTAACTGGTATGCAACGTGCTCATTAAAGCATCAATATACCTTATTCCTTTAAGGTCTTTATGTTAAGTTGTTCACAAATGTCTATTGTTATTTTACTGTGTTGCACATAAATGCAGTTTATTGTCTCCATTGTGTCCCAATAACATCTTTTAGTCAATGTGTAAGAAACAGTTTAAACCCAAACTTAATATAACCCTCATGAAGCCCAGATTTATTGTAGGTTTGTTGCGTACACGGATACCGAATGCATAGTACTGCGACAACTGAGCCATCCTGAATGTGCGCCAACTTTACAATCACTATCTCAGTCAGGTTTTTCTTTACAAAGTGTAGCAGGATTCACAAGAAAAAAAATGAGACTTTAAGAACATACAGGAAAGTTAAATAGTGTGCGGGATCATCTTATTATCCTTTTTTTTTTTTTAAATATTAAAGACAAAAAATAGATTAGGTTGTCTTTAATATTCTGTTATCTCTGCCCACTCTCACTTTTCCTTATTACTTTTCTGACTCTGTGTTGGCTTTAATGAACACTATCACTCATGGATCCTGTGCAAACATTGAGAAGCTCCACCGATTTCCAGCTATTTAAAATGTCATTTTTATAGCTGCAGAGTTACTTCGTCTTCTTCTTTTAAAGCAGGCTATGTTTGCACCTAAAAAGACTATATTTTTAAACACATTCCTCGCATTCTTGCCAAGCCGCCGAGTATTTCTAAGGTGCCTCATCTCTTACGCTGCGCACCGAAAGGCTCTTACCTGTGAGAGCTTTTTCTTGTCTCGTCAAACTCAGCCAAGCCCAGACTAAGTGTGAGAAACTAGAAAACCAGCTGATGAGGAGGAGACGCTGATGAACAAATAATTTCTTCCCCGGAGGAGTTCCCTGCAGAGCGTCGTATCTGGCAGTGGGTTAGTTTGTTTATGGGACACGTCATCCGGAGGAGGAGGGCTCAGACGCAGCCTGAGATTAGCAGTCAGGTTAAGATTAGAGCAAAGAGGGATAATTCCATAGATACTGATGACAGGCTGCACGTGGAGACGTGAGAAGGCGCACAGAAAGAAAATCCCATTCACTGCTCATCTGTCCACGCTGCTCTTAATCTGTCCTCGCTTCGCTCACCTCTTCTGCTCTTCCCTTATTCTCAGGTTCTCCTCTTTTTGGTGGTTTTCGGTAGTCGCTCACTGAGTAGTTATCTGCTGTGCCGTTTGACTGCGTGCCTTACTTTTCTTTGCCTGCCTCAAAGGCTGCTCTCTCTTTGACAGTCCTGCCTGGGAGTGACTGTTGCTTCACAGGGTCTTTGTGCTGCCTCCTCGTCTTTCCCCACCTCCTTCGCTGAGGCTGCTCCTCTCCGTTTCACGAGGGAGAAGGTGGCAGTGTTTCCATCTCCAGCGGCGTAGTTAGTATGTTGTTGAAGTGGCTTCGTGTAATGGGATGTTTCCGAAATAGACTCTGTGTGTGTGTGGGGTTGTGTGAATATTGGCTCTTACATAATACTGGATCTGATACAAGAGTGGCCTTTTTATAAAAAGAATGGAGGGGGGGACATATCACATCTAAAGCCGGGATTTTATTAGGAAACATACTGTAGAGGAGGAAGGTGTCCTCATGTTGGAATAAATAGGAAGTGTGTTTACAAAAAGAGACATTTTCTTTTTTTTAATTTGACCTTTATGTACTATTTTAGAAATGTAAGAGTTGTTTCAAATCAAGGTTTAGTTTCTTTTTATCCGTTCTTCATCGCAGGAGAAGTCAGAGCTCGTAGTGTCTATTAGTGTTGTAATAGTTGGAGACTGTATTTTTTTATTTCAGGAGACAGAGTGGTGCTTATTTCATAACAAATGCATTGATCACGCTTGTGTGTGATGGTTACATAACAGCCAATAGATCAATGATGCACCAGATGCTCTGTGTATGAAGGAGTGTGCCTAAAAAATATTTACTCTAAATTGCAGGGTCTGTGTTACAGTATATTTAAAAACCGCGTCTCTTGTCCTAACAGCTGCCGCCATGACACCATTTCTAAGTTTTTTGGGGACCAGTCGCCAAACTGTGCCGGCGCCTGCGACTTCTGCAGCAACCCCAAAGTCGTACGAGCTCAGCTGGCGAGAGCAGCCGTCCTCAGCAGTAACACACACGCAGCTCAGAGCAACAAGCCCAAAGGACCGTTCGGGTTCCAGGCGGACCTTTACGAAGGAGGGAAGAAGGGATACGGCTTTGAAAGGCAGGACAACTTGAATGACATCGTCTGAAACGTTTTTTGATTTCACGTCCTTGCAGTGTAGATCTGTAGTGTAATGTGAAGCCATGCTGTAGATGAACACTGATGTCCCGCCTTGTAGGTTTGATGAAGCGGATGGAGGCAGTGGTGAAGATGATGGAACAAAGAGGAAGAAGGAGTTTTCTGACCTCTTCAAGAAGCAGATGAACCTGCGAAAGGTGAACCACAGTAATATTGGACGGCTGTGCTTTAGGTGGTAGAGTGGGTTGACCATGAGGAGCAAGAGTCGACCCTAGCTCAGGTTAAAGGTGCCGATCATTTACCATTTAATCAACACAAACATATATAGGGGTATATATATTAATGAGGTGTTTTGGACTGTTAGAAGCAAATCCACAGAATGTTTGCGTTGTACCTCTGTACATCTGTATGCCAGCTGTTGGCAGCTGAGGCTGAAGGGGCCCCTGTAAATACTTCTTTTGTTAAATCACTCCCACATGTTCAGAGGAACTGGCACAAGCTTTAAGTAAAACTATTCCTCAACAGGTCCAAGTGCAGCCCGGCCAAACAGTTTACAACAAAGCATTAAAAAAAAAAAAAAAAAAAAAAAGATGGAATGGCACAGTTGTAAAATTGTAGAAGCAGAACACAAACAAATAAGCGATGATGATGGTGGAATTCATGGTCATAATGTTGCCCGCCACTCACAACTTCATTTAACTTGTGTAAGTTAAAATGAGTCAACCATGAGATTTTTTACACACAAATATATATAAATACTGACTTATTATAGATTTGACAGATGGCTGTATGTGGCTATTTCTTCGATAAAGTTTGACAAAGCCATATTACCCATATGAAGAGACACACGGACGAAGTAAAGAATATTTATGGTCATTTTAATTTCCTATGTGAAAGCTAGTCGCCAGTGAAATTAATATTAACTGACTTAATTCAAGCTTATCTCAGGTCCTGCTCTGTTAAATGGGGAAATTACAAACTTTAGAAGCATCTGTCAAGCCTATGTAGAATTTTAGACTTTAAAAATATGTTGCAGTTTGTTCTTTTGGTTGTGAAGGGGTTCTGTGTGGATGTAAACATTGAGAAAGTGTGTCACTGTTACTACAATATGAGATACAGAAGAGCTTGTTGCAACAGAATACAGTATTTAATGGTATCTTAAATACAATGTGTGAATGTAGAACTAACTTCTGTCTGTACTCATGTTTCTTTAGGGTGGCGACGGTCAAAGAGAAGACTTTATTCCACCAGGTAATATCATTAAGTGATGGAATCATTCAGAATAAGGCTGGTGTTTGCTGCTGTACAACCAGTGTGTCCTGTTTTTGCAGATGTCGACTGTCCGCTCAGAGACGCCAGCAGCCAGAGGATCCCTCGACTCACTGTCAAGGTACAACACATTCCTCATAGCTGCTGCATTCATTAACACCTCTACAGGAACTCGTGTGTCATGAGGTATGAATGCTATTGATGTAGAAAACAGTGTATATACAGTACTAGAAGAGAAACATACAAGATTACTTGTTTGTGTTTCGGAAGCGAGGTCCTTGTGTACAGTAAAAGCAGAAAATTAGTGGTACACACAGCTTATAATATGTGCATTTTTAACACATTTTCGTTATTCTTCTGGCGTTTTGACACTTTACAGCTATATTTTGTTTAGTTTTTGACCTGGTTATGAACTTTTCAGGCCAGAGAGCACTGCCTGCAACTCCTGCAGGAGGCCCTACACAGCCAGCAGAGGGCAGAAGACGCTTTCAAGTAATGCAGTCGTGCTTTTCAAACAAAACTCATACATAATTAAAATAATGCAAAAAATATAACCAACTTTCCTCACTGTGCTTGTCCCTCATCTTTATCTCCATCTCTCAGCTGTGACAGTCTGTCCTTGGCGGCGGATATTGAACATGAGGTCTTCAGAAACAGCAAATCCTCCAACTTGTATAAAGCTGCTGTCCTAAAGAGGGTAACTGCAGATTTTCATGTGTGTTTACAACAACATTGGGGAAGCTTGTGCTTAACTCATATCTTGCTCTGAAGGTATCAGAGATGAAGAAAGCTGCACCTGCTTCAACAGAGGAAGAAAACGCAGCAGAAGACAGTAAGAGCATCGGCAGCAGTGATTCCAGAGAAACTGAGTCGGAAGTCGCATCTTCTGCTTCTTCCTCGTTTACACACGAGATGCAGGGGTTCACTTCTGCATCAGAGGTCTACTCAGTAAGATCAGTTTATTACACACTTACTTCAACTACCTTGACAAAGTTTTAGAAAAAGGAAGCATTTGTTGTTGTGGCTGCAGACTTCTCAGAAGCTTTCCTTTTTTCCCCCCCAATATTCCTCCAGCTAAAGCGTAAGAGAATAGGTGCAGGCCAGAGAGGCTCGTCTAATCCCTTCATCACTGCCAGGGATCTGCTGAATCCCTCCATGTTAGACACGGAGTCTAACAAAGAGAAGGAAGGTGGCGGGTTTTTCAATGACAACTCAGGAGACATGAAAGCAAAAAGGGAGAGACTAGAAAAGACAGACACAGACCCGCCGTCGACTGCATCATCATCCATTAAATCCAGAGCAAACGCCGTCTCTGCCTCCCTGAGCAGCCCGACTAAAGCAGGAAGAGCCATGAGCAAGAAGCAGCAGAAGCTGGCGGAAGCGGCAAAGAGTTCCCGCAGCATTTCCCAGTACTTTGCAAAGAAACAAACACCAGAGAAAATCCAGGAGGACGCAGACATGCCAGAGGAGCTCGATGCTACATTATATCAAGCTCCCAGCGAGATCTCTCAAGAAAACATTAGCCAGGAGCAACACTCACCTGCCTCTGTGGAAGAAGTAGAGAGCAGCCCTGTGATATCAGAGACTCAGATCCAAGCAGAAAGCAAAACTGTGGTAATAGTGATACCTGACGACGATGAAGGGGAGGAAACGGTTGAGATTTCGAAGCTGGTTCACGATGCATCTCAACAGGATACAACATCCATCACAGAGTAAGACACCCTCAGTGTTTTATCAAAACTTTGCCGGAAAAGTCTTTTATGAACTCTTACCTGCACTTTTACCTCTCACACAGACTAAGCAAACCCAAAGATGCAGCTAAACCACCAGAAATTGAAGAGGTAGGTGCCTGTTGCGTGCTGAATTTTAAGTGTTTTCTTGCTTTAGCACTGATGATGATATGTGTGTGTTTAGGCGACGGATGACATTAAAGAAAAAAGGGAGTCGTCTCCTCCGGCGAAGCGAAGCCGCCCCGCAGATGGTCGCAGCAGAAGAGTGACCTTCAACCCCAGCGTGCAGGAGAGAGCCCTGCATCCAGTCAATGAGCCGCCCAGGCCTGTGACCCTGAAGGAAGCAGCTGATATCGTGGTCCGCTATCTGGACCCCTTTTACACTCAGGGAAAGTTTGCCACCAAGGTGTGTAGTAGACTGCAGAGAAGAAGCATCAGAAAACAAAATGACGTTTACTGAGCTGTTTTCTTTATTCACAGGAGCTGTTCAAGTCTTTCGCTCGCTACTTGTCTCACCTCCTTGCAGAGGGGAGGAGTCGAGGGAAAGGCCAAGGTGAGAGGGTGATACAGCATATAAAATGCCTCAACTTAACTTCATAGAAAACTAACTGTAGTCTCTGTGTTCACAGTTAAAGCAGAAGCCAAAGCTCTCATCAAGAAGTTCTTCAGCAGAGTCCAGCGCTGCGAGAGTGAGGCGGACTGGAAGCACCTTAAAAGACCGCACAGCTGTAAAACCACAGAGAACAATGAGTGATGGGAAGAGGAAACGTAGCCATTTTCAGGGTCAAAGCCTTCCTCTTTGTCAGTGCCTAAGCTTCTGTTGTTCCAGTGATCTCAGGCTTTGTCACAGATGCCTGCTCACCACAGTTCTGCTTTTTTTTCCAGCCTGGTTGCTGCTGCTATTGTAGCTTATGTCAATAACTGAGCAATAAAACAGGGACTGTTAGAGCCTGAGAGGGCAAAGCGGAGCACACGTCTAATGTGACAAGTGTTCTTTATGTTTCGGCCCATTTATTACAAATTGTAGACGCTTTATATTCCAGATGTGTTGGACTTCACTTAACTACAATATGGGGATAAAGTAGAGAACTTTCCATGTCAGTCTGCGCTTATATTTGCTGTGAATCATTTTTCAGATCTTTTCGGGTTGACTACCCGTCGGAGCTGCAATGCACAGAAACCAAAGGCTGCAGCTGAGGCACAGTGGTGCTTTGAGTCTGACGCCAACAGGCCCTTTTTCACAGCAGTCATTCTGGCTTGTCACGGCAGGAAAATTCCATTTAGGTGAGCTGCTGCCACAGTCCTCCTATTGTACAGTCTGGCTCAGTGCCAGCGACTCTTTATCGAACTTGATGAAATTTACTTTTTCAGTTTTTTTTGTCCCTGCTGTGAGTCAAAATGTGTGCAGAAAAAAGATACATGTCAGAGTCCTAACATGCAAATACTGATGGTGCTAGAAGAAGTAATGGAAAGATTGATCCTCTTGGGACCATGCACGGCAAATTACATGGCACTCTATGGCGGACCAACTGATACTGCCATCCCCAAAAGACAAAACACGCCATGGCAGACATGCGTGTGGATATACATGTGTACATAATTTGAAGTAAATGAGGAGAAAACATAAAAACACATAATTTTCTGTTTTAGGGGCCTGAAAGTTGTTTTGTTTGTCGTTTTTTTTGGTGTTTTTTTAAAAAAAATTGCTGCTAAATGTTGTGTTTTTGGCTGCTGGAATCCAAAACAAACTATTCTGTATGATCTAAAGCTATGAACTTTGATTTTTCTTGTGTTTAAATCCGAGTAATTTCTGTTTTTTTCTCGTGTTGTCTCTTAGCCAAAGGGAGAATTAGTTCCGAGGGATGTTTTTTTTTTTTTTTCCTTTCTGTTTAAAACAACACGATTTCCAATGATGGAAAGATTCCTTATGTTAGTTCTTAGTGCCTGTCAGGACTGTGAAAGGCCACAGTTTCTGTCTCCTTAGACAACTTGAAGCACTGACGGACGCATCAGAAGCCTGGTTGACTGCAGAGTCACAGCTGATGCACTCCTGGATCTGAAATGTTTACAATAAAGTGAATGCTGAAGAGAAAGAAGCAGCCGCAGTGTGAGACGTCCCTCATTGTGGGCGAATTAATGCCTTCGTTTGGGCATTTAAACTTACTGAATGAGGGGTGGGGGGTGGTTGGGTGGGTGAGGAGAAGGAGGGAGACGTCCCTGATAGTGTATGTAAATGGTGACGTCACCTTCAGTGGTGCTGCCTTCAGGAGCTCCTCGTAATTTACAACTTTTTGAACTCACCACCATTCAGAGGCGCGTTTTTATTGGAAATGATGACATTAATTGAGGAAAATGTGACAATTAGGTCATCTGTAAGATTCTGTGGGTTTACTTTAAAGCTGTATCAGGTTTCTTCACAGTCCACAATGAGCTGTATCCTCAGCAGACGTAGTTTGAGAGTGGAGCAAAAATGACCCTGGAAAAGCTTTTAAAATATAAATATAAATGTGGAACAAATTTAGAAATGCTACATGCAATTGGTCGTATTTTTTTTTGACTCAGATAAAAAAGTTGTAAAGCTAGTTTCTATTAATGTGGTTAGAAAAAAGTAAAATTAAGCCAAGTGTGTGCAGAAAATTGTTGAGCTGTTCAATTAGTGACAAATTTATGGAGTTGATCCAAACCCTGCTCTGGTGTGGCGTTGAAGGACAATGATCAGATTTAGTAAACAGAACACAGACATGACTTTAACAGTCAGCTATAAAATACCATTGAATCCTGTTTGTTGCCAAGTAGGTTTTGGTGCAAGTAAAAATACTTCAGATAAAAGAAGCCAAATAAACAGTAACTATTACAAGAAAAAGTAAGATACACATGTTGCAAATCAAAAAAAAATTAAAACTGCAGCATCCAGCTTGTAGCTGGCATGCAGAAATAAACAAACTTTGATTTGAGGGCTTCACTAATCAACAACAATGAAGTTAAAAAAAAAAAAAAAAAACAGGAACACAAAACAGCATTCAACTGCTTTAAGGGATCAGGAAAAGCAGAACCTGCAAAATGCACTGTTTGTACGCCGGATTTCCCGCAGCCCCTGAACGCAGCAGCAGTATTTGGCCACCGGGCTGCAAACGAGCTGCCAGTCTGCGTCCAGCAAGGCCCCGCTGTACATCCAGCACCGAGGAGACGCCGCTGTCATCCTCCAACAGCGGCCGATATGCGGGTTTTATTTCCCGGCTGCAGCTCTGGATGTTGAGTCGCCGCTTTCTGCAGATGGTGGAGGAAGCAGGTGCGCCGCCGCTGCACGGATTCTCTCTCTGAGTAGATTCGCCTCACAGGGGCAGGAGGCGCCGCTGTTGTGTGTGTGTGTTTGTGTGTTTGTGTGTGTGTTAGCTCATCATCACATCTCAACCAAGTTCAGCAGCATCGATGCTCCGCGCTGGAAGGATGGAGGAGTTTGTCACGGAGGAAGAGGAGCCGTGGTACGACCAGAGGGACCTGGAGCAAGGTGAGGCTTTCGGCTCTTATTTCTAAGTGTGCACGATCAAAAGGATGTAACAAAGCCCCCATCCGCATTGACAAGAGACAACAGGAGGGGTGGATGGAGCAGGGAGACGGTTGCACTCCTCATAAGACTCGAGTTCATGACATTTGTGAGCCTCTGATTCTCAGTTTGCAGCCCTTCGCCATTATTCTCATCATGTCAGTGGTGTTTCCCAGAATAGTGCTGCTGTCTGCCCGAGTGAACGTTGCCTCTTGTTTCATCTCCTGATCCTTGCAGGGTCACATCTATTCACCCAGACAGTCCTGTCCTCTCTTTTCTCATCAGATTTATCCAAATAAGTGTATTCCCTCTTATTAAAGCATGCATTAATGGTGTTTGTGGCGGTCAAAGGTCAACACAGAAATCTGGGAGGAACAGTGCAGAAGATGTGCAGAATGTTAAAGTTTTTGTACAAGAAAAAAACACAACAAGTAGAGTTTACGCTGTGGATAAAGGCCTCAGCTTGCACATCCAGGCAGGAAATGTATGAGAAATCTAGTGTTTGCCTCCAGTAATGACTTAAATGGATGCACTTTTATCGACGTGGCATCTCAGAGGAGAGCTGAGTGCTCTCTCTCTCTCTGGTGATTGTGTCCTTCTGCAGCGCCGGCCTCGGCATCACCCCATCTCCTGATTACCTGCTGACCCAGAGAATTAAAGCAGCTTTGCGTCTCATCATAGCACAGTCAGAGAGGAGGAGGGCGGCAGGTGGATTTGACTGTGTTTATGTGTGTGTGAGCTGTCAGTGTTTCATCTCGCAGTTATTCAGCATCTAGACTGAAGTCATTAAACCCCCTGGCTGATCTGATTAGGGAGCCCACAGACAAGACCTCCTTAGTCGGGGATCAGAGATTTCAGGGCTTTGGGGTCGGATTGGGAGCATAATTGCCAAACAAGCATCATGCGGCGTTGTGGTCATAGTTGTGTTATTTTAACCCCAGAAATTCACAAGTGCGTTTGGGCAGATGTTGTGGTGCTTCATCTGACATCTGAGGGCCCTGTGATCTCAGAGCGTCACGTGCAGAGGGCAGCAACACACGAGCAAACCTACAGATCATCAGTGCAGTTTGAGAGGCAGTTATTAGATGTATTTTTCCTCCCAGCACATCCTCTTGCTTGTCTCATCCCTGCACATAATTCCGAAATTACATAACTGAGACTCGGCACGTGTAGCAGAAATGGTGCCGTGACTGAGTCGGACCTGGAGGCTTGAAGGCCTCATTATCACTGTGCAGCTCAGGCTGGCGTTCCCTTATCAGTCGTGCATTGTTGAAAGAAAAGAAATCACGGCCTGTTCTCTGCCTCCCTCTGCAGCGATAGAGATGCGCACAGTGTGAACTAATGAAGCTTGTTAAATGTATTAGATAACACAGAGGGATTCTTGCAAATATAGCAGTTTGCACACAGTGTAAATCACATTAAATCCAGTGATGATGAGGCATGCGTGTTCCTGTCATCGCTCACACAACACAGCGCGGTGATAAAAACACTCCATTCATGTCCAGTAATGGATGTCAGTGACTCCCTGTTTCTTCTCATCTTTCCACTCCTCTGCTGTTGTGTTGTCAGAAGCTCCAAGTGCGCAGAGCCAGCAGGATTCTCCTCCTCCTCTTCCTCCTCCTCCTCTTTTTAAGTCCAGCTCGCTTTTTATTCACCAGAGGAGAGATGAATAATTTATGCTTCAAGCTGTGTTGTAAAATATCAGCAACTGTGAAGGTGTTGTCTGTGGTGTGTTTGGGCTCCTGCTGCGCACACGGCTGCAGGTTTGTGTCGACATGATGTGAACTCGAGCAGACGGAACAGAAATATATTGAGGTTACGTCTGCAAGATTCAATGTTAGAATCTTTTTTTATATCCTAAGAAGTAGGCACTGGATTTTGTGCTACATCCTGAGTTAAACTGAATAATTTTAAGAGTCCAGATTTTGTCCAAAAGTGTCATTTGAAGCTCAGCTGCTGCGAATGAAGTACTTGTGTGACAAGAAATCATCTTATTACTGTGAACTGAATGAACTCTTGTGCCCTGAACTCACCTCTTTCTGCTGTTAATGTCCCTCTTCTCCTGTCAGACCTGCACTTGGCTGCAGAGCTAGGCAAGACTCTCCTGGAACGAAACAAAGAGCTGGAGGACTCCCTGCAGCAGATGTACATCAACAATGAGGAGCAGGTGCAGGAGATAGAGGTACAGATTTTACACACACACACACATCCTGTTGATATGCCCGGCATCCTCATCTGAATTTGTTTTGAAGTAATTACTGTAAAGCGTTTGGAAGAAATAGACGAGAAGCATCAGAGCTGTGTGAACATGAAAAGGAAAACGGGAAGTTACTGAATGTGACGCCTCATCACAGCTCAAAGACTTGACTCCCTTTTAGCGAGAAACCTCGCCAAGGATGAGTTTATTCATCTCTAGACACTGGAAACCACTGATGGAATCACATGAAACAAAAACTACATAAAATGATGCAACAGTGCAAGAATGTAAGCTGCAAAATAATTCAATGTTCCAGTATCTCCGAGACCTGAAGGCACAAATTACATACATTTGATAGCTTATTTTATTGTGCTTTCAACTCTAGTAGAAGCAAGAGCTTAATGTCTATTTACATTTTAGATCAGAGGGTTTCTGATGTTTTTGGACTGACATTCCCCAACAGCTTTATGATACAAACTTGAGCAGAACTTAAACAACACCGCTGGCTGAAACCACAAATTTCTCTGTGCAGGAAAAACCCAGACAGACAGATAGGGAGGAATTATTTAACATTCCAGCAATGTATTCACAAACTAGCTACCATGAAAACACCTCTTGACTCCGCACCACCATCTGCAGAGCTTTGATGCATACTCTGCTACATGTGCTGCAGACAGAACTGAGACTCTACTGGACAATTATGACATTTTTTTTCCTGTAATACTCTGTAAAAGAAAGTAAAAAATCTTTTTATGTCAATGCATATTGAATCACATATATGCAGCTACCAATAGATCTGTGATAGGTCAATTTCGGCTGATAATATTGGCCGACTGATGTATCTTTTGGGCTCTAAGCTTGAGCTCCTATGAATTGATTTCATTTACTGTTATTAACTTAAATTGTATATTGCAGCTGAACTGTCAGTTTTAGATCATTTAGTCAATCATCTTTGGTTGGAAATCACCTCTTTAGTTAAACAGTTGAAGATGGATGTAGTTGCTATTTTTTTTCATATTAATCTGAAATGTGTTTCTCTTGCAGTACCTGTCCAAGCAGCTGGAAATGCTGAGGGAGATGAACGAGCAGCATGCAAAGGTGTACGAGCAGCTGGACGTGACTGCCAGAGAGCTGGAAATCACCAACGAGAAGCTGGTGCTGGAGAGCAAAGCCTCGCAGCAGAAAATAGACAGGTGACAGACCGTGACTACGATGTGTAGTCCTCTCTACTGTTAAAAAAAAAAACACAACATGAGGCCTATTGTTGTCATCATCACATACTTTAAGTCACGTATGCACAAACCAACAAGAGGCTCCAAATATCAGGAAGCGGTTTGTGTTTTTGCTGTTAACTCAACCTGAACTTGTTACATGTTTTCCTTCTTTAGAATTTCATAATCAGGGATTAAAGTTGTTTATGAATCACGTCCTGGACTAAAGGCTAAAGAAATGTCTTTCAATGGCCGCCTCTGTTCTTTCTAAATATGCCCGGTCACATTCTTTGTTTGGTAACAGTGACTCGCTGCAGCTTTTACAGAACTGACGAAAGAAAGAGTCGGGTCGCTGTATTAGTGACATAACGGACACAGGACAAACGTTGCTGTGTTTTGTGTGCAGGTTGACTGGCACCATGGAGACGTTGCACGGTCAGGTGGACAGTCTCACGACTCGGGTCGAGGAGCTCAGGACTCTGGAGGAGCTGAGGGTCCACAGGGAGAAGAAGGAACGCCGCAAGACCGTCCACTCCTTCCCCTGCCTCAAGGAGCTCTGCACTGCACCCAGGTCACTGAGAGACAATTTATAACCCACAGCACAGCAACACACTGCAGTCTGGGTGCAGATCAGAGGTTTTATCTGCAGTTTACTACGGTGCTAATAGTAGTTGCATATGCTGCAGCTGACCTGATTATTCTGCAGGACTCCTGGTGCTTTAATTAAAGTGATCTCAAGTGATTATTGCATTACAATTACTGGTGTTATCTGGGCTCTAAAGAAAGTACTGATGGTTGAAGTATAAGTTGTATTTAAGTTAAATTAATTTAGTGATGTGACACTTTTTTCTCAGGTATGAGGATGGTTTCCTGCTGGCCAATCCAGGTAGCGTAGACCTGGCTGAGAGACGGCCACTGGATGAGGAAAACGACCGGCTGAGAGACATCGTGTCGTCCCTGCACTCGGCCATGGCCACAGAGCGGTCGAAGCGGGAGAGCGCCGAGCGGGAGTGCGCCACAGTGCTGCAGGAGTTTGAACGTCTGGAGCAGCGTCTCTTAGGTGCCGAGGGCTGCCAGCTGCGGGTTCAGGAGCTGGAGGCTGAGCTCCAGGAGATGCAGCAGCTCAGGAAGTCCAGGATGTGTCTGATCGGAGACATGGAAGACGGCCTGGAGACGCTGCTCAGTAACGGCCCCGAGACGGACACCCCGGAGGAGGCGGTGGGGCTGGAGGAGGGAGGTGAAGGAGGAGAGGGGACGGGGCAGCAGGGAGGCCCGGTGAGGAAAAGCTGCAGCGACACGGCCCTGAACGCCATCTCAGCTCGGGACGCCTCGGGCAGACGGCAGGGCAGCTACGCCCTCCATGCCAACGGCGTTCGCAAGCGGGGCATGTCCATCCTGCGGGAGGTGGACGAGCAGTACCACGCCCTGCTGGAGAAGTACGAGGAGCTGCTGGGGAAGTGCCGGCGCCACGAGGAGAGTCTGTGCCACGCCGGGGTACAGACCTCGCGGCCCGTCTCCAGAGACCCCTCCATGAAGGAGTACTGCATGGCCTCAGCAGGGCCTTCGACATCCGGGGCCGCCGTGGCCACCCCGCCCACGCCTCCTCAAACGCCCTCCACCCCGGAGGCCCTGGAGGGGATCAGCAGGCAGGTGGAGCAGGTGGACAAGCGGCTGAGCCAGAACACGCCGGAGTACAAGGCTCTGTTCAAGGAAATCTTCTCTCGGCTGCAGAAGACCAAGAGCGACATGAACTCCACCAAGAGCAGAAAGACTCACAAGTGATCATCATAACGGGTACTGATGCTGCACACACTGGAAACGGCCACACAGGACTGATTTATCTTAATTTACCTCACTGTTTTTCAAAGCTTCTTATTTAACTCTTGGCTCGTCTTAACTTTAAGGGTGGACGCCTGTAGTCATGCAGCTGGTGGTGGATGCCTCTTTTTGCCCTCTTGGAAGGAAGCTGTGGGCGGAATAACTGCCAAATGTTTCACCACACAGGGGAAAGATGTTGTTGATGAAATGCCTTTTCTGAGTGACTGTAACCGATGAATAATCAGAGCGGAAGGTTTAGTCGTCATGTAGTGTTTGTAACTGAGACGTACCGATGCAGGAATTAACCGTCGTTTATTTTGTATTTATGCGAAAACGCTGATTTAGCCAAATAAGTAATCTTAAAAGAAAAAAACAAAAAAAAATAAAACAGCAAATCTTTCATTGGCTTTGGAACTGAAAGCATTTAAAGCATGTATCTGTCGAATAACACTAAATGCAAAATGTATCTTTAAAAGCGAGTTCTGAGCAGCGTGAGGTGGTATTTAGGCTGGGGTTTTTTTTGTTGTTGTTCTTTTAATTCACTGGATGGAACAAATCCTTCAAGACAGCTGCTGAAGTTTACTGTATGTAAGTGTTAGATGATATGTGTGTCACGTGGTTACGCTGGTCACTAACGAATGGGTGCCGATGTTTCAGTGGTACAGGGTGCGTTTGAGGCCCTGTGGGGCTGAAAGATCTGCATTTTTGTTTCAGGGACTTGTTGGATCATTTCCTACATGATAAAATAAGCAGTTTCTACACTGTGGTGTCACGTTGTCAACGTTGTTCTTGTAGTAGGTTATTTAAATGCTTTCTGTTGATTAAAATAACAAATGTACTGACCATGTTCTTTTTTGTTAAGGGATCAAAAACGATTTGTTTATGCACAATGGCAGGTTTATAATTTTAGTTTTGGGGTCTGCTACAATATGCTTTAATGTGCAAAAATCACATTATTTTTCCTCACATTCTACATTGCCACAGGATCTTTTTTAACCTTGAAATACTGAGTTTTAGTCTCTTTAAGGTGTCCTCCAAAAAGCCCAGTCTGCTCTGATTGGTCAAAAAAAGTGACACTGGTTAATCCTACATAGCAGGTGTGTGTTTTAGTATCCAAAGCCAAAAGGGCAATACATTTTCACTTCTCCAACAAGGTTGTTTTCAAAAACCTGCCAGGATGCTGTTCTGTTTTGTTCTTAAAGTCCCTAGAATCAGTCCACTTACAAGCAGCGAATAAAAAGCGATATGGCCTTTAAACTCCTCTCATAAGCGTGTTCAGTGTCAACACTGTAAAAACTAGCACTGATGGTATAAAAAGGCAATGTTTTAATTCTTCTCCCTGCAGTGCTCTATGAAGGTCAGCTTTTGACACACCAGTGTTGTAGGTACTTTTGGCACCACAAAAATTGCCATTTTACTCTGTCGCCAGAGCTACTTAGAAAGTGGTATTTATTTTGCTTTTCACGGTATAAAAAGTAATTTTAATTTAAATGAAGGGATTTGTGGCCGTTTTGGTTTTCCATACTTAAGTGAGGAAATGATGGTGGACTGAGAGGCAGCTCCTCATTCTGATTGATGTCGTGCCGAACTAGCCACCAGGCAGGTTTTATGCAAATGTGGTGACGTAAACAAGTAGCAGAAGAAAAGCCTGTACTTCAAATAAAGCATTTCAAGCAGGTATGGTGAGAATAACTCGCTTTGTTGTGGAGTTTGGGCTTCGTAAAATTACAGATCTCTACATTTGCACGCTAAACAACAGGGAAAACCCAAATGGCACAATACCTTTAAGTAAGTGCTCAGGGATGAAGCAGGTTAAACACTGACAACAGGAAAATCTTTGTTTGGTTATAACCAGTCTGAATAAAACAGAACGCACACACGCTCCCAATCTGAACACTTTAATGTGAACACAGGAGATCAGTCAACTGATACAGGTAGCACACATTGAGTCTCACCAAGCCACAGAGAAAAACAACAGTCCATGACACACGAGAGCTGAATGAAGCCAAACAGACAGACGTCATTCACATACTTGTGGAGTGTATAAAAAAAAAAGAACGATAAAACACTTTTATATGGCAGGATGTGTTAACCATCAGTGTCTGGTTGAGGACTGTCTCTGTACTGGTTCAGAAGTCAATTACAAAGTTTCCCCTCAGCGATGTTGAGCACAGAGCGCCGGCGAGTCAGCAGAAGCAGCATGTGGTTGTAAGAGTCTGGAGGCACAGTCAGCAGTGGTAATCTTTAACTTAAAGTAATACAAGGTGAGCGGTTTAACAGTTCCTGTGTTCAGGTCAATGAGAAACACCTCAGACCCACTGAAAAAAAAAAAAAAAAAAGTATCCTCAGGGACAACAGAGGACACACTTGGTGACAGAAAGCCATCAGTACAACCTGGATTCTTACATTTCAAGCTGTTGTGAATGATGTAAAAAGGTGATTTAGTAGTTACGAAAACTACATGTACTGAATGAAGAAGGTGTTTGTAAATAGAGGTGATATCATGGACACCAACATGGAATGGCTTTCACAAATCATCAAACCTGAAATAAAGACATAAGGAATAAATCCTTAGTCCTGATTCCTCGTCCAGGTATTACAAGTTGTGTTAAACAGGCTCACGTGATGGTCTGGCAAATATAGAATGTATTGTGAAGGCAAATGGCTCAACTAGGTTGTTATTTCTTACTAACGGTTGTTGTTAAGGCCACATGGCTGCTAAAAAAAAAAAACTGCCAAAATACCCTGATGAGGAGAGGCACAGCCACAACTAAAGCGAGGGGTCGTGAAGGGTTAGAGGTAATCGCTTCCCCTGTTCTCTCAGCAGAGTCTGCAGGGCGCTAAACTATTTGAAAAAAAAAGAAAAAGAGGTGGCCTGAATTCCAAATAATTTAACACGACCCAAGTACAAATAATCTGCTCAAAGGCTTTAGGAGGGCTGTGTCCATGAGTTGTGTCCAGCAAAGATTGCTCAATGACCGTACAGCGACCATGTGCATACGGCGCTACTGCTTCCTGCACAATGCTGTCCAAGGCAGATTATGGTAATCGTACAAAACAATCTGAAAAATCGAGGGAAAGGAAAGAGGGAAGAAAAGAGAGGAGGATAGGAAATCACATCGCTTTTCAAAGAGAAGCTAACAGATAGTATTTTTTCTTGTTTTTTTTTCCTTTTATAAACAAACCATAACTGGAAAATCTGGATTGTGCACACTGTTTGCTTTCTCCATATTTAATACTTATCAGAACTGCAGGTGCCAACAAATTAAGTGTTACAAATGGGAGGAATGATGCCGTGATTGGAATTTAGAAAGAGAAAATGATACCAGGGGGGCTGATGGACGGAGAGAGCAAAAGCCTAAAACAACACACGATCCAGAGAGAAATCACGGAATGACAGCAAGAAAAGGAAAGCGGGACAAAGCAGAGGAAGACGTAAATGGAATGCGCGAGCGAGCGAGCGGCAAATTAGTCTTTCCAGTCTTTCTTGATAGTGAGGCTCCACTCCCAGGAGAGGTGGTCGTGTTTGTCGTCGTCGGTAAACTTAGACTTGATGTTGTAGGTGCCGCGGGCCAGCATCCCTTTGGGCGATTCCTCCATGGTGGTGAGGAACTCGTATTCCTCGTTTGGTCTGGGGCCGTAGCTGCCCACCATGTAGTCTGACTTGTCAACTGGATGTTAGAAAGAGGAAGAGGAAAGGGATTTAGGAGATTTTTTGAAGATAATATGAACATTATTAGCTCCAGATTACAGAAAGTGCATGCTACTGTCTGTGCTCAGTTAACCAGTTTAGAATTTATTCCTGTCTCATGCATGCACTGATAATAATATGCTATAACAGGTACAGCAAAAAAAGTTCTCCACAAATCTAAATCTATAATATGGTCTGCAGCTTTACCACTTACTAAGTAGGGCCTTTTAACAAGTACTAAATGGGGGTTTCACATCAGGACAATTAGGGAAATAATAAGCACTGTTAATGTTTATTAAACATGAAGTTACAGTCATCAGTTTAGCACAGATATGTAAAACAAGGAAAAAGCAAACTTTGCTGGCCTATTTCTTACATTCTCAGGAGGCCTCTGATCATGGCCTGCTTGTACAGCTCAACAATGAGTTATAACTCAATGCAGAAAGCCAAAGGAAGATCCTGGTAACATGGGATGTCAAAATCCACACAAAGAACTGCAGATTAAGGTAAAATGAAGCCACTGGAGCAGCCTTACCTTTAACTCCTTTCCTGAATGATTGCTGAATGTACTTCAGGCCTGACACGATCTCCTTATTGACCTGCAAATGGCAACATTCATTATATTCTGCTGAACACTTTCACATTTCAGCAGCAGTTTATTGCAACTGCAGTAAAATAAGAAAAACAAAACAGTAACAGCAGTAACTGTCGAAGTGGTGGCTTTGACAACGAGCAGACTCTCGTACCTTGAAGTTGATCTTTATTCTGTATTCAACTCCCTCCTTCAGCACAAATGGGTTCTTCTTGAAGCCTTCCAGGTCTCCTGTCATGGAAAAGCAACACAGTAGAAAAACAAAGTCAAGTGAGAGTAAAGGCTGCCAAGAGATGCAGCATAACATCTGCTTGGAACACTTCCAAGTCCTTTTTTGGGGTTTCAGAAAAGTGCACAGCAGAATAATTGTTCTTAAGAATTTGGATTTTCTCCACCTTGTAGTAACACTAACGACCACCAGGGGGCAAAGCGCCTCAAGAGCTCTGCTGTAGCTCAGTGTGACCACTGGGGGGAGGGAGGCAGGAGTGTCACCAGGAAATGGCTCATTAACCCACTAACACGAGAGTCTTGTCATTTCTAATTAGACTAATGACCCAGCAGGCCATTTGGACCATATCTGCACACAAGGATGGCAGTGATTACTGTTTACAATTAATATTACCATGAGACAATTCTTCCAGTTTGTTTGTATGGCAGCTGCCTGAATGAGGCTTTTCCCTCTGTGTGCTGAAGTGCAAAATCTTTCAGATGACAACTATACATGATTTGTTTTCCCCTCTAAATTCTTCTGGTGAGCTTTGTTTAGCCTCCCGCCTCACACACACCAAACTTCCATATCTGCTCCACTTACCCTGCAGGTCAAGGACCAGAGGTTGTGGCGCCGTCTCACACAGCAGAGTCATTCGCGTCACCTGAACGTTGGGGGCGCCGGGATCTGAGACTGAGGGGAAAAAGAAGTCACCACATTAAAAATCAGGAACCTGCAAAACGTTTAATATCCCTTAAATTGTTTTTACTTTCAAACACTGAAAGAGTAGGCGTCACCGTTTTATACAGTACCTTGTATAATGATTTACAATTACCAATAAAACATTTTAGTACCTTCCCTATTTCTTCACCATTGTCTAACAAAACAACAATTGTAAAGTGTTAAAGGTGTGTTAAATATGTGACTCTATTGGCTATAGGGCTGTGAGACATTTCTGGACTAACATGGATATTTGTAGCAGCTCTGAAAAACCGCACATGGAAGCCTGACGTTGGTCCTCACTTCTAAGATGGTTTAATTACATGGTACGAGGATCTACATGACTGCTTTTCAGTTAATCAAAGTGGTTCAACAATTGAGCCTTCACCACAAAAGGTTTATCTCGCAAAACGCCTGCTTCCGAATCAACCGCTTCTTAGAGTATGTGGTTAACTTGTGCCAATTTTGTGACTGAACAACAAAGTCAGAACTTCTGTTTATTAGCGGTTTCCAAATCTTTCACAATCTGATCTTTTCATTTCTACTTTACCAAAAAGGATCTGGCTCAACTTCTTCATTTGTTCAGTTATTCGAAGCTTCTGAAATGAAAAGGACTTCTAAATGTACATACGGAGACTGTTGTTCCAAAAATATCTATACTGTTACCAACATACTGCATGAGATCTATTTAGGATTTCTTCTTTCCGTTATGACGAGCATACCTGGTTTCACAGTTGTATGAAATATTATAGTTATGTCACCGAGTAATGTCGGTGTCAGCACAACTACTACTTCCTTTAGTTACTATCTGGGTGGCCGCTGGGTTAAAACTACTGCAAACAGGCGTGTTGTCATGCCTGTGGTGAATGCTTTCTGCAGTGCCTTAGCAAAGTTTATAGTTTGACACCAACATTTCTATTATGCTTCAAATGTGCACTGGGTCCAAATATAGCTTATCGGTTTCCTTTGCTACTATCGGTCCTGAAAAACTATATTACACGATTCCGATTTTGAACGTGCTACTTTGCCGTGAATAAAATAACCCCCCCTTTTTTTATATATTTTACAAAATGCCATATGGCCAAAATTAAGATAAGGTATACCAACAACAATTTAAAAAAAAGAAGACAAATAATCTGTTTAATCATTTGATGACAACTTTCAGAGTTGCTAAACTGTTTTCACAACAAATAAATGAGGTTCAATATCCTTCTTTATTGACAGAACAAACACACAGAGCAACAACTTTTAGAAAACGTGAAGGATCCACAAAGACACACACATAATACACTTTTAAAGACGTAACCTACAACAAGATTATTGTACTGGTAAATGAAATCAAAATGCATAAATGTCTGCTTATGTATGCGTGTTAGGTAGAATGAGAGTTCCGTTTGTTTTAGAGGTTGATCAGGATGATCAACAACTATCACTGACCTGTTACAACGCCAGCACCGCCCAGCAGTGCCTCCTTGTACTTGCGCAGACTCTCGTCATCTTTGTCCAGCTCCTGGATCTCCTGTAAGCTCTTCTGGGCGGGAGGTTTGTAGTTGACCGCGGAGTCGGCCTCTTCATTGGCTGCTGCAATCGCTGCCAGCTGCTCTGGTGTAGGATCCTGCTCTGCCATGGCGTGCTAATCACAGCAAGAAAGTGACAGCAGAGAGGAAGGGTTAGATGACAGGAATAAAAAGTAATAAGGACTGATGGCAGATCACTTCCCTTTTTACTCTCGCTTTAATTAAATCTACATGTGAAGCCAAACAGTCCTTGGATATTAGACATCCGGTTGCTGGAAGATTATCATGGATTACTTATCCAGAGGGAAACCTCAGTGAACTTTGACCTGAGGGCGCTGGCAGTCTGAACCAGCCGCTCATGTAGAAAGAAACGGTATAAATCAAAGCCAATTCAATTATGTTTGGTGTGACTTGCAACAAGACCTACAAGCTCTACAATATCCAATAAAGAAAACAAGGTACTTTAAAGTAACTTTGACATCTGTCCACAGACCATGCTGTGGAGAGTTTCTGATTTATGTGTACACAGACAGCTGGCAGGTATACTTCACAGCAAACAGCTCTTGATGAAATAAGTCTAGAGACTGTCATGTAGTGTGGGTTTACAAGTGCACACACGCTATCAGACAAAAGCCAGGGCACTCTAGTCCTCACAATCTACCCTGTGTGGAGCCAGTTTCCCTAAAGCCTCAGCAGTGACACACAACAGAGGCCGGTGGTCTAAAAAGCTGATGATTATCTGAGCTCCAGGCTTCTCTTTTCCCCCCCTCCTCCACCACGAGCTGCTGTTAGGCTTCAGCAGAGGAAACAAGTGAAAAACAGCAGAGCTAGCATGGCTACTACACCCAGCTGCCCTGTCACACCACAGTCACTACCGATTAGAGGCGAGGACGCTGATTCTGAGCAGGCGTTGTAGCAGCAAAGCATGAAGATCACTGTCATTTACTGACAATATACAGGTGCTTTGAGATAAGAAAAAAATAAAGTGTTATCCATTCATAACATCTGGTGCACATGTGCTGGGCGAAGCCTGTGCAAAGCTAATCAACACCTGCAAGCTGGATGACGGTATGCTCGTAACACTTGCGTGCGGTCTGTTTACGTCTTGTTCCACCTGCAGTTCTCAAAGAACCGACGACGCAAATCACCCAAATGGTCTCAGAGCTGTTCTCAAAGCCGAAATATACAGAATGTCCTTGTTGAGACAGTGTTGATCCACCAGGCAGAATCAAAATCACAACAGCCACAGATTTTTTTTCACGAAATTAGGAGAAGCGATACTGCAGAGGAATGTCAAATAAGCAACAAAGTCCTCCTTGGGGTCAGTCACGTTTAGTTTATTTATTAATCTGACCTTCTTTTTTTTTTTTGCCTCTGACAAAACATTCCTCTGAGCGAACAAACAAGCACGCCCTCAAACTTCTCATCCTAGATGGTTGCAACATTTGCATGCTGAAAGAACTCTGCTTCCTGCATTACAGAGAATTTAGCCAAGCGTTCATCTACGGTGTCACAATGCACAAAAGACCACATCACAGTTAAAATGACAAGTGTATCGAAGCTACGGCGTTAAAAAAATGCGATCAAATCTACATAACCATCCTAACTAAAAAAAAAAGAAAGACTGTAATGCAAACTGCTTCTCTATTCAACTCTATTTACTCTTGTCATAAAGGTACTGTAAATCATTCACACATTACAATTCACTCAGGCTCTTTTTTTTTCTACTCCAAGTCAGTTTAACGTGGAAGTAAAATGTCACCATAAATCAGCACAGGTAAGCTAACAAATCACTCAAATTCAAAGAAAGCCCCCAGATGATAAATAGAACCAATGACACCTCCTGAGACCAGCTTCACCTGCTCAACACAGGAGGATACACTAAAAACATACACTCAGACAAAATGTTCAATCTGACTAATAACAATAATTCACACGACTGCAAACAGACAACACAAAAACCGGTTTGCTGCTCTGCCTCCGAGTCCAACTCTCGGCTCTATTGTGCCTCCATATACAGTTGGGTATTGGCCAAGCAGGAACTGAGAACACAGCAGTGTTTTTTTGTTTTTTTTTCCTCAAATGGGGCCTCTGTGTTCCCAATAAAAGCACAAATTCCTTTTCTGCCAATAGTGTGTTTTGGCTGGTCAGCTGTGTCAGAGTGTTTGGCGATCGGAGCGAACGAGAGAAAGGAAAACAGGACTGGATAGCACAGTGATGCGGTCATATCATTCTTTGACTATCAAGAAACAGGTTGTTTTTCTCGCTTCCTCTACTCGACTCTTGTTGTACTCCTTGTGACTCCCTTGCAGCGAGCTGCAGAGCGACTGCAATATGCCAAAATCATCACACAGGACTAAGTGCTCAGTCAAATAAAACTGACATGTTTCTCCTCTGAAAACTGCTCTGAGAAGCACTTCAAAACTTTCCCTTTCATAACCTCCAAATGTGAATTTTGCTCGGTTTGTTAATACACAGCAGAAGAGAGTCCACCGCTGCGCAATATCAATCAGAAGTTTGTCACCTTACAGTAACGGCAACAGTAGATTATTTGTACTAAAAATCTAAATCTAACAGTTTAGATTTGATGTATTAAAAATACAAGCCCCACAGTAGTAACTCAATGCAAAAAACGTCAGCAAACCTTTCATCGGATTCACATCTTTTTTTTTTTAAATTCATGACAGTCTCAATCCTCCTCAACACGGAGGACACCGATGTTGCTCAAATTTCTGAGGAGATTTTCTGTCATTTGTCAATGACACATGTTTCAGCTGTCCTTTGCTGGAGGGGTTATGCTGCTCTACCTTACTCTTCAAAAAAAAAAAAAAAAAGGTGTGTTCTACTGGATTCCAGTCAGGTGACATAGTTTTTACTTTGTCCTTTATAAACTCTTGTGTAATCTTGGCAGCGTGGTTTGAATCATCATTGTGCTGGAATATCTTTTATCTGTCACGGATCTGGTGACTTGTCAGTAAATCTTCTGGTACATTCATCGGCATTCCGTATGCTATTTATAAATGTCAACACCTTTTGCACTCATGCTGCTCATGAGTCATGAGTCTCATCTCAACCAAACCGTTTGCTCCCAATATCCAGCAGGCCTCTTGTCATGTTCTTTAACAAAGTTTCATCCTGCAGGATTGTGCCAAAGGGAGAGCCGGGGCGTTATTTTTGGATGCCGTTTGCAGGGATTGATGTCAAACAACGCCCTTAACACTGTCTGAGCTGTCACAGAAACCCCAATTTCTATTGATAATCCCGGTACAAAGTCTGAAGTGCTCACCTGTCTGGTTTTCAGAGCTAGATTGTGTAAGTTGTGAGCTGTCCTGGCAACTTTTTCCATGTTTCATGATGCAGACATGCAGGAAGACACACCCCATTGGTCCATAATTAAGTTGACCGGTCAGTTCATATAGTAAGGCTAATTGGAAATTCACAGGATTTCCAACATGTGTATCACAAGTGTATTTACTTTTACTGCATTGCGTTTCTACTGTGGGGACTCTATTTTCAGCAAAGTGTTTCTAAAGTATTTATTAAGAAACTTAATTGTATGGCAGCATGTGTGTAAGAACTTTTGCTTCCTTAAGAGTTTTGTTGAAATATGGTGGAAATAATTTCAAAAACTTGTCTCAAGTCGTATGAGTGCATTGGCTGATCAGAAATATGACCAAAATTAATGCAGAGAACTATGTTGACTCACTGTATTGATTCAGGCTGTATTCATGTCTTAGTGTGAATAAGCCACTGCAGTTTCCCCGAGGTCTTCCACTGTCAACAACACCGCATTTACCAATGTTAGCACGAACAATTGTTTCCAAGTGTGTTGTGCAATGTCTGCAGACAACCACATCACTGAGAGATGCCATCTTAATCAAGTATGAAATTGTTGATTCAGCAAATTAAAGGCCTACTGGCTCCACAAAATAGATTACTTTAAACAATACTGACATCACCACCCTCATAATGATACCCATTTTTTTCTGGCTAGAACAATGGGAGTTGTGGCTAAGTGGCTACATACTAAGCTGACAGGAAAAAGCCCTGTCATTGTTAAGCCTGCTGGGAATCAACACTGAGGTCATGGGATCAGGCAAACAAACTCTGGATGTGCTGGCGAACCTTTTCACCTCAATCTCCTAACCTTCACCTGCACAGTCCTGCATGCAGCTCTCTCCCACAGGAGGATAATCAGTTTGCTTGGCTGGACTAAGCAGCACAAATTTACAGAAACACAAGGCTCGGCAGCAGCTGAGGCTTGAGATTAGGCCTGTTCCTAAGCAACAACGCTGTAAGCAATACGATTATTGAAAGGTGGGATTATGGTTAACAAGGCATTCAGGGACAGGAGAGGAAAAGTGTTTGGAGGTGTCAGTGCTGAGAGGATTCTCTTGAAAAGAGTCATTAGTGCCATCGAGATGTTACTGAAGATAGCTAATCAGGGACCAGGGAATCCCTGAGGGATGAGACGGGCTTTATGAGTGGGCTGTGTGGTCGGTGAGCGAGGTCAGTGTAGAACTGGGAGGTACTGTGAATGATAACGACACTGACATAGTGACAGGAAATTAGATAATGTTGGGGAGTTTTGGTTATCATAACAGTGTGATATATATCAATATAGTCGTGTAAAATGCTTGTTGCCTATCTTTGAGGCTGCATTACACTTAACTGATGAAGCATTCTGTATCAGACTTTTAGCTTCATGAAAAAATGCAAATCAATTTGAAAAAAAAAAATGAAACTCACAAATACTATAGAAGTTAAAAAACTTCCAGTAAAAAAGGTTCTCATTTACATTAAAAAAAAACTATCAATAAACTCAAAAGTCATCATTTTACATTAAACTATGAAAAAGCTGTAAGTCACAATTTGGGGTTAAAGATCATTATTACCGAAACAAGCTTCAAGTCAATATAAAGAGGAGAAAGATCTGAAATAATCATATGAGCTGCGCTGAGAGTCATTTGTAATGCAACAGATGCTTTGTGTTCTTCACTGCAGGTCTGCGGCAACACAAGACGAGAACCAACTAAAATATATCAAAGTGTACAGCAGAAAAAAAACAAAAAACTTGCAAACTGGAAACCCTGAATGTATCGCTGCTCAGCCACGTCAATACAAAGTTTACAGCTTCTATTCTTCCCACAACTGGAATCTCAGAAGTATTTAATTAGCAAGTTTCTCCAGTGATAAGGCAGTAGGCATATGGCAGCCAGACTGACCAAAACAGGAGTTTTGTTAAATACAGCTGCTTTACTGATAAATCGAGAAGTGGAAGTCTTAAAGCTCACACTTTACACCCTGAACTAATGTAACATGGAACAAAGTACACATTTCCCTCAGAGACCACGACAGGACATGAAGTGAGCGAGAAACCTTTGCGAAGTGACATTTAGCTCCTGGCTTCACCTCTCTATTGAAGGTGTCGCTCACAGATCTACAGCTGCTTTGATCCTCTCTGGTCTCTGTTAGGAGTCTCTTTCATGCACCACTCAGTGAACCTGAGACCTTTGGCTTTGTCCTTTTGACCCACGCGATTTTCCTGTCATGCTGCTTTAATAGTAGCTTATCAGGTACAGGGGCAGTGCTCATTTTCATTCCTTTGCTCACTTTAAGTTGTACCGATAAAACGATTCTGCAACCGGAGCTGTCGTAACGCCCACATCCTGTATTCAGCACCTTTGAAAACACACTGAAACACTTGTCATGCACACAAATGATGAGAATTTCATGCAAATTAAATAACATTTGCATCAAGCTTTAAAACTGTTCTTTGCACTATCATCTTTGTGTTTATCTTAGTTTCTCCTCAGTTATCTGAGTAGAAAGGAGTGTTTGAATAAATCAATATATTTTTAAACTTAAAAAAAAAAAAGGAAAAAAGATTAAGGAATGCACAATATAAGGTACAATATGAACACGTGTCTATATGGTGCATCTACATTATGCCATTGCGTATAGCGTATAGTTGATGTAAGACTGACTAACAGCAGCACATTAAGTGGAGTGAGGATGCGTTGCATGTCAGGCTGAAACGAGGCCCTTTTGTCTGTCAAGAACTTACTGCAAACTTCCTCTTTGAAGCGAGACCTAAATGAATCATATCCTTTAGCGCGCTAAACCACACCACTGCACACTTGAAGAACAACTCATCATCTTAATGCTGATCTATAATGATAATCCTAACTACCATTTTTTGATGTAAGGTATAAATGCAAAAGGACTGGTTGGATGTTATGTTGGTAGATAAAATCCTGCTGGTTCCACCAAGATGAGGATGTAGCGCTAAACATACAAACACTTTGAGGAAGTGTTGCACTAAGGGTTCTTGGCAGAGCTGATGCAATGCAGAGGAACCCAGTCTTAACAGAAATATACAAGGACGTGAAAAAAAAAAAAAAACTGGAATGCAGAGAGATGAAAATTAGGGAAGGAGCAGACTAGTAAATGTGTTGTGGGTTTATGTTTATTGCTTAAATGAAATCTGGTGGCCAAAGAGCTGTTTAACTGCCAAGAGAAAGTCTGCAGCGTTTCACAGACATCGGGTACGTCTACAATGAAGATTAATCTGGCCGAAAAATAAAACGAGCAACAGCGAGAGGAGGCTGTGAGGGATAAAGAAACAAAACATGACTCTATCCCAGGAAGAACCAGAACAAATAGGAAGCTTTAAAAATAGCCAATGAGAAATCCCTGCGTACAGCAGCAGGAAGCTGCGAGTGAATGGGAGAGCCAAGGTGCCAGCTGAAAGGTCAGGGCTTATTCCCCTGCTCGACAGGAGTTTCAGCAACATGCCCAGATTCAGTCTGCCTCCCTGGGCAACAGTCTCGTTGGAGTTAACACACTCTACACAATGCTGGATTATGGCTGCATGAGGGTTTTCTCCAGGGACCATGTTATACAATAGACCGTGTGAACATGCTGCAGGAGAATCCACCACAAATGATTTAAAAAGCAAAATTCTGGAGCAAAAAAAAAAAAAATCTAAAATTGGAATTGATGCTGTTGACAGACAGTCCTTAATAAAAAGGACCACCATATCTGAGTGAAGCAGCTTCTCAGGGCTGCTGTTGAAGCTGAGGAAGGCTTCGCTCTGGCTGAGGAGGACCAGACAATGTGAGAAGGAAAGACTGATACTAGCACACAGAGTTCTGTGTGGAGCGGCTGGCGAGCATCCCTGCATCTACTCCCCTGAGAAGCTCAACTAAAATAGGAGAGGCCTTGGCCGTGATCTGCCGTGGTTGGCTCAGAGTGACCACTAGAAAGTGTTGAGCACGGATAAGAAAGGATGGTGATGATATAATACACAAAAACCACATTGTAACCTGCAGATTGAGTATTTTACTTGATTTAGCAATTTAAAAAGTGAGAAGTACGAGCTATTTCGGACAACATTTTACAGCTTGAGCTTTTGCTTTTTACTCTTTACTGCTTACTGTGAGCTGCCACACACATGCTTGAAGATTCTCAGGGAAAAAACACAATAAAAATGTCACACATTGACCCTTCATTGTTCAATTCTAGCTCTTTAGGTCTACCAGCTTAACCAGAGAGGAAAAAGAAGCTGCAACATTAGACATCCGGCCGCCACTGCAGGGTTGTACATTTTTTTTCAACTGAAAATGAAAAAGTTCATGACAGAAACATACTATTAGACAAGTTTCTCCCAACTTCTACAAGGGAAAAACACAGATTCCCCTTAGGCTATTAATCTCTCTCACACACACAAAGGAAGGAAAAGGAGGATTCACGGGTTGGGTGATCTCTCAGAGAAGGCAGCAATTGAGCCAAGCACACGGCTTAACTACCACACAGGAGTTCTCGGCCACTGGAAGCTAATTTGATGTCGGTAAATGTGATGTAGGTGCACTTGACTGCGGGAGCCGTCAAAAAAAAAAAAAAGAAGCCAAAATGGAGGCTGGTTTTCTGTGTGAGCCAATTCAAACTGAAAGACAGCTGAGTTCCAGGAAGTGGCAGAAACTGTTCCTCATACGGCACATGATAAGTCGGACACGTTGAGAAAAGTTGATAAAAAAATTTTGCTCATTTAACTGAACTTTCGCTTCGCCGGTCAATGCATCGGTTCACTGCGTGTGTATTTAAGCGCATCGGATGACATTTTAGTTAGCTAACGGTCAACACAGGCAGCTAAAACTAGGCTCAACACCCGGAACTTCACAACTACCGAGCTGCTACACCCGTCACCGAAGGCGGTTAACTTTATAACTAACCAATAACTACTTTGAGACATTAATATCGCGGTAACATGATAAAAGCATGTAAAAAAAAAAAACAGAAAACAAAAACAAATTCAGAAAGTTTAACAAAATGCCACCCTTCAAAAGTCACGTACATGCGCCAAGTTAGTCACTATTTCCGTATCAAGTGCGGAAACGCGTTAGAATTTCGCCATAGCAGCTTGTTGAAAGGCTAAAACTGGTTATTCGAAGAGTTTATGCAGTGTTTTTAATCAACTCTTACCGTTACAGTGCTTGCTGGCTGGGACAGTCTGCTGTGAATGAGAGTGAAGTGAAGCTGCAGGAGGAAAATCTGAGCCAAAAGCCGCTGACAGACACCACGTCCGGCCCGGCGCCTTCAAAATAAAAGCAGGCTTCAATCGGGATACACAATTAAATTTAGAAAATATAAATTCAACACGTTTTTCTTGGGATACATCTTCCAAAAGTCTTCTTTACGATATTAATTTAATTTCTTTTTTTTTTTTTTATCGCTGTTTACTGAAGTAAAATTTTACATTGTATTACTTGTATTTCTGCCCCTTTATATTTACACTTACTTACTTATAGCATTAAGTCATTTTTGCTACATGCAGTGATTTTTGTTTATGACACATGTTCTGTCCTGTCATGGCTTTTGTTGGTTTTGAATAAAATAAATAAATACATTTAAAAAAAATGCAATGTTCTTCTATTACATTCCTTCTGTCTGGAGTTGGGAGAACAATAAAGTCGACTTGACTTCAACTACGAAAACCTAAACGGAAGCTGTACGTGTTCTCAAGTTCAACTTTTTACATCCGACCAAATGCTTCTAGAAAAAAATGCGCTGCGACAGGCGCGGACTTGTAGTTTTTTTTTTTTTTTTAAGGCGATCTGGACATTTTACTTTACACTCTGTTCATTTGAGGTTACTTTTGACTCATTCATAGTTCACCTCCAGAACATCGACACATGAACTGCAGGAGTTTCTATCCTGGAGAGTAAAACAGTGCAGGACTTTGTAAGTCAAAGGCGTGGCGAGCAGGTCCTGACTAAAGTACATTTCAAAACCCAGCGGGCTGAAAAATCAAGTTGGTATTACTGTCGATCATAATGAGCAGGACGCCATCTAGTGGCTGTATTATAGCAGTCTTTTACAACTGTATACTGTAGGCTGAGCCTTGCTCTGAACCCATCTCCCAGTATTATCTGTTAATAATATATATGAAAAGTATAATTCATCAATCTGCTGTAAAGCAGCTTTTAAGATTCAGATGCATGGCCACTTTTCGGTTTGTGGCTTTTATTGGTTGCCGCTTCACAAATGATTCAGTGTTTTATGTTTAACTACAAAGACACAAATGTTTATTCTAAAAGATTAAAACCCCATCAATCATATATATCAGCCCTTCACACTGAGATATTGCAGATTAAATCAAAAGCTAAACCTCAAGCTCTCAATTTTAATAAACTTGACTTCAAACAATTTCTAGTGGTGTCTGCAGATGTGTTACTGTTAGATACCAGGCATAAAACACAAAACTACAAGTACATATGAAAACAGAAACAGGACAGTTCATTTGGTGAATATGCACTGCAGGTTTTTATTACAAGTTTCATTTACTACAGGGTAGAAGAAAGAACTGGGGAAACCCAATTCTACAACCTACAGCCAAAACCATTTTCATCAGAAAACAAAACAAAACAAAACAAAAAAATACTGGTAAAAAACACTTTGGAGCATTTAAAAGAAGAGGTTGGAACAATAATTTCAATCACATCAGAAGACAACCAAGTGTAAAATATTCTGCACATCTGTAACTACACCCTTCTGCTGTGCGGACAGGAAGGGACGAGAACAAGGAAGAGCTTGATTTTTTTTAGCTGGTGTCCATCTGAGAAAAGAACAAAAGAGTGAAATCAGATAGCTGTCAAAATATCACTGTTTAGTTGAGAACAGGCTTCTTATTGACAGATGAACATACCCTGGCATTATAGGCGTCTAACTGGGCGTCGAGCTCCTCTGCTGACAGCTGTTGCTTGCTTGTGCCGCCGCCGCCACCACGGCCGCCTCGCCCTCTTCCTCTGGCACCGCCTGCACCGCGCCCTCCACGGGCTCTCTGCATGCTTCCGAAGCCGCCGCCACGATTTCTGTTCATGCCACCGCCGCCTCTGTTCAGACTGAATACAAACAGGGTATCACACACGGCGTCCACAACGTTTTTGGCTCAGATTTCTTGAAATTATAAATAATAATTTTTTAAAAAAAGAGACAAAAACACCCTCTTACCCCTGCATAGGTCGTCTCTGTGTGTCAATCTGTGATGTGACGAGCTGTATGTTCATGGGCCGCCCTAAAAAGAGACACAACTCTTACGACTTTTGCAGGATTGTGGCATAGTAGTAACAGTCAAGTCATTTACCTGACCAAAAAAAAGCTCAAGTCACTTAGCAAAAACAGAATGAAGTCACATTAACCAAAGATGGCAGAAGCAGTTAAAATGTACGCAGTTATACTTCAAAGCAAGAGTGGCATGGAATTAGAATTTGAGACGCACCATCAAGTGGAATGCCGTTGTACTGTTTCATGGCCTTGAGAGCATCTGCCCTTCTTTCAAAGTGGACATCTGCTGTACCGAGGCTTCTTCCTGATCGGTCGTAATGAACTGCAGCCTTTTTCAGTGTCCCAAATTCAGCAAAAAGTTCCTAAAAAACAAAAGGCAATTTCTAAGTCTCTATGCTCCACACAGTTTAGGACACTAACTCGAGGCAAACACACACCTGTCACAACAAACAAACTTGTAAACAATGAAATCCCAAGTACCTGAATATCTGCATCTGAGACCCCAAAGTCGAGATTGGAGACAAGGAGCTTCCCTCCAGTTTCCACACCAGCTCCTCCGCCACCCCCAGCAGCGCCATTGAAGTTGCTGTAGCCGTTGTCGAACATGTCGTGCTGCCACTTATCTGGAAGCTGTTTAGGCTGCAACAGACGAAAGAGAACGCACCTGCTGACTTCAGGATCCCCTTGCCTCTGTCAATCACAGAGTCCACACGGCTGGGTGTTGGGGCAAGCAGGGGCTCCACTTCCAACATGGCCAGGGTGCTCAGCTCCCCCAAGAGGGTCCCCCAAAAGTTCCCTGCCCACCCCATCACTACAAGCAAGTGAATCAGTTCAGACAGAGAAGGACATACACAAGACAAACAACTTAACTATAAAAGCAAGGGGATGTGTTGTCTATCTGCTCTATTTACCCATACATTGGAATTAAAAAAAAAAACAAAAAAACATGGCCTAGCTGCATCTGCTTAGTCTACATATGCATCTACTATTCAATGATTAAATCATAATGGAGCAAATATATTTAGTCATTCCAATCCCACCCACAATTTCTACAATAAACCCTGAAAACTTGCCAGACTAGCTACCAATATTGCCCATTGTTCTCTTGCCATCTGCGCCTCCACCACCAAAGGCCTCCAGATATGATCCTCGGGTACACAGGGGGTCGCCATCTGAAGCAGCGTTGCCTCCAGCGTTGCACCATGTTTCCTGGCCCGCCCAAGAGTTCTTTACCAAGCCACGAAAGGGGCTTTCATGAAGGGGAAGTGTCCATATGATGTTGGGGATGTAAACAATTTGAAAAAGGGCCAGCTATCCCCTCTATGCGAGCGTGGATTATCTGAGCGTCCATTTTGAGACCACGCCATTTTGACCGGGGCTTTGTTTGTTTGGTTTAGATACTCATTCACACTTAGGGAGTGAAGATCTGACTTATATGAACAAATATCGGGGGGTTGAAGTCCACTGATCCATCCACAAGCAACAGCCACACTGGTTGAAAAGCCACCAAACAGGCCTTGTTGTGAAACCCGCCAGCCACTCCCGAACAAAAGGCCGCCTGGACGCTGCACCGGGACTCGGGACAAAAACTATGCTTCCAAGGGTAGTAAAAAAAATCATTTGCGGATGAACTTTCTCGATGACGTGGTTTCCTTTGACCATCAATTTGACACTTGAGGTGGAAAGCACTGTTATTGACAGTGGACGACTAGCTCTAATTTAAGGTGCTGGATTCAAAATGGCGCCGCCAAGGCCTTCGAGATCCAACTTTAGCTAGTTAGCCAACACGGCTAACACAACCGCTCTCTCCAAAAGGCCTCTTCTTGAAAAATGGCGTAACACACATGGGTTGTGGGAGAAGGGACACATTATGCATACAACTTCCAATCATGCTTAACCGCAAATTAGAGAGCTCTCCTCCGAGGGACACTCGGCGGTTAGCAATCATTTTATTCCCATGACTAGCAAGCTGGCTAGAGGATTAGCTAGCAAGCCTACTGGAGAATAGAAGGATGTTACCCAGGCATTTTCAGCTTTGCCGTAGGTTTTTTTCCTTTCTCTGCCAATTCCTCTAACTTTCTCATACCCTGCTGTACGGCGTTGGTCTGCCTCTAGCGCGGCTCATGTTCTGTCGGTTCCTCATGGGGCCGGATCCGCCGCCTCGGCCTCCATATCCTCCGCCGCTGACTCCAAGACGCCCAGGGCCTCCTCCGCGGCCGCCGCCTGAGCCTCCGCGGCCTCGACCTCTTCCACCCCGGCCTCCGCCTCTCTGCTGCCTGTTCTGCTTGATAATGTCGTCTAGAGACATATCCATTTTATCGGTCATTATGCTGCCCCAGTAATGCTAAACTGTCAACGGAATATAAAAAAATACACCCTAGACTCGATTGGTCCCTCTCCCTGTCCTTTCACAGCTCAACGCTCTCTGCACCGACGACAAAACACAATGAGCCAACGTCCGCAGGATATGGACTACTTGCTGCGTTACGTAAGTCACGTACACACGACGTCATTACGTGAAACGCCTGACCAAAACACACACGCACCTTAATTGCTGTACTGATGTTAACGCAAAGGCACTGTTGGATCAACGTTAATTAATACTAATTCAAATTCATTTGCAAAGATTCTGATAATTTTATGTCATTTTTATACCAAATATAAACATTTCCTTATATGGATTAATCAGTTTATCAAGATAGTAACTTATATTAGCAATAATCATCAGCTGAAGCTCTAAAATGAGCATAACAAGAAAAATTACAATGTTTGCCTTAAATTGCCAACATTATGGAATTCTTTCTCGTGTCAGTTTTTGCAAAGTGCATCTTTAATACAAAGTAGTTTTTTAATAAGCTTCATGTAGTTGCATTCATTGATGTCTGATGTGATGAAAACACAGCAAGATTCAATCTGGACAATGTTTATGTAGGATAAATACAAGAGGGAGTAATGTAAAAGTCTTTTATTCAATATTTTGTTTCAAGGCTTAGGGGAGGGGGGTTAACCAAGGGCAGCATATTTGGGGAGGCCTCTACTTAATAAAGTCCATCCGAGGGCAAGAAAACGTATAATAAAAATGTTGGCCTTCTACACTGTATTTTGGCTTCCAAAACTTGCCCATAAAGTGTATATCCAATGTGACCGTTCAATTACTTCTACAATTTATCAATCTATCTTTCAAAATAAACAAACAAACAAAAAAAGAAAAAAAAAAATAGAAGTCAGCCCTTTCACATTTTCCTCCAAAGTCATATAAGTGGTAGTAGTATTGTATTTAAGACTGCAGTCTTTTGTGTCCTGTGGAGCAACAGTTTGTACCTCAGCATTGGATGTCAGCAAATTTTGATCAACAGTTGCATCAGTCCCATCCACAAAACGAATGTACACATGAAGATTTTGTGACTTGGAAAAACATGAACCAGGAGAAGGGAGAATAAGTGCTCCCTGAAATCCCAGTTCTTTTCTTCTTAGCCAGTTGTAGCGGGTAATAAAAGAGATGGGGGTTGCAAACGGTTCCAGAGTTTAGAAATGACATTTGCATTCTGTGTTAGACTGGCCAACAGGGCTAACTTTCTGGCTGACAAAGGGCTGATGGAGGAAAAAGTTCTTGAGGATAACGGGAGGAAAAAAGCGACAGGATCATTGTGAGAAAGACTAGGACTTCTTGGAGTCCTGTGTGTTGCGTTTTTTGAGGTCACTCAGGTCCACTGGTGTGAAAGCTGCAAAAGCAGACAGAAACAAGTTGTTAACTGGCCGGTGCTTGACTGATTTACTCATTTACTGTAACATACAAATAAAATCCACTTATTAATTACACTGGTACTTACAATGTAGGTTAGGATTTGGGTTCTTCTCCACATACTCCTGTGGTCCACGGTCATTACGTTCACTATTTTGTGTTGATCTGATGTCTCTGAGCACACACTGCCAGGCTGGAAAAGATTGAAAACGACAAGACAGTGTTACATTTAGGAAGTCCTGACTTGAAGAGATGTTAGTAATCACATGATACGACACACTGACTCAAGGCCAATAAGTAGTTTATCTAAATGAGGGTGAAACATGGGTCGATTAAAAATCCAATCTCACAACATCTGAGCCAGTGTGGTGGCATTTGGTAACTTACAAGGCATTCGTCAGCATTTTTCAGAATAAGTGCTTCAGTGCCAAAGAGGCCAAATAATGTTATGCGATTTATATATAAGCACTACTTTTAATGATGTTGGCTGATGTGATGATTGACGCATGATATAAAGTTGGTCTGTAGTTATTAGTGCTAATCATTGCCCAAACATGTGGGCGATGATTAGGCATTAAAATTTTCTCAAGACTTAAAAGGTCCACTGTGAAAGTTTTGACTGCTCTTGGCACAATAGTCTTATTTTGTCAGTGGGATCCTAATGTTTTTTAATAAATTAGATGCTTCAAGTGTTTGTTAGAAGTGAAGGATATACACATAACTACTGTAGAGTTAACAATCAATGAAAACATCCATCCACTATATATACACCGCTTAATCCTCATTAGGGTCGCGGGGGGGCTGGGGCCTATCCCAGCTGACTCAGGGGGAAGGCAGGGGACACCCTGGACAGGTCACCAGTCCATCGCAGGGCTGCACTTAGAGACAGACAACCAAGCACACTCACATTCACACCTACGGACAATTTAGAATCACCAATTAACCTCAACATGTTTCTTGGATCTTGTGGGAGGAAGCTGGAGAACCCGGAGAGAACCCATGGGGAGAACATGCAAACTCCACGCAGAAAGATCCCAGTGCCCCCACCGGGACACGAACCGGCGACCTTCTAGCTGCAAGTCAACAGTGCTAACCAACTGCGTCACCTTGCAGCCCTCAATGAAAACATGACTGGTGTTTTTTTTTTTTTTTTTTTTTTTTTTTTACAAGAAAACAAGCAAAAATACTCATATAGACGCATAACACACATTAGGGCTGAACAATTAATTGATTTCAAATCCAAATCATAATTTAAAACAGTGCAAAAAAGCAGATCGCAAAGACAGAAATTTGGGCCTATGATATGCAGTGTGTCTGACCCAAGGGTCAAACTGTTGTGTAACTAGTTTTACAAATGTCTGCTGTCCTCCCTGTGTGAGTCTGAGTTTTGATGGTATCTCACGCGGTCAGGCTCCATCACATGTTTTAAATCTATTACACAGTGAGTACTTAACTGAAGAGTGACTTTAAAAAACACAACTACAAATCCAATTGAAACTGAAAAGCTGTTAGCAAAATCACAATTAGATAGTTTTCCTAAATCCTTTAGCCCTAACACATACGTAGAATTAAAAAAGAATAGTTCCTTCAGCTTTGCAAACGAAGACAGACTCATTACTGAGTAGACGGAGTTAGTTTTGTGTGGCTTCTTGCAGTGCGGAGAGGGGAAGCTGACTGAAAATGGCGAAAATGTCCTTTGTTGATTTCAAGTCACACCCTAACATTCAAGTAGGCACATAGCAGGTCGTCTTGCTCTGTAAGTTGTTTAACTTAATAAATATTACATTGTTATGTTTAGGATCCAATTCTATATTAATTAACGTAACAGATGCACAGTAAAAGGATTTTTATAAAAGCAAACGCTATGGACTTTTAAAGAATGCTAACAATGTACCGCAGGATTAAATTGATATGAGGCAAATTTTTTCTTTCTGAGTGTAATAAATTCGACTGACAATTTCCTCTCAAATATTTACATCCGAGATGAACACAATGACAAGGACTGTGTTTGCATGCTGCACGTTGCACAAAGCGATCAAAGTTCTGACTTACACAACATGCAGTGTTCAGAATCTTTTGTTAATGAGCCTGCAGTTATCACCGTAATTGATTTACAGCTGAGTGTCACTGAAGAAAAATGTTCTTATCTGAAAAAAGTACTCTTGTTGTTGTAGAACAGCAAAGGATGAGTCAGTCTTTTCAATAAATCCTTCCTTAACTCAAGTGGGCAACCATGTGCAGTGATAAGACAGGAAATGCCAGAGATTCAACATTAAAGATCTAAACAAGTCAAAGTTTATTTTCCTGTGGCAGTTTTTGCAAAGGTCAGTAACTTGCAGAGATAAATTAAGACCAAAGGAGTTTCAGTTTTGATGAGTCTAGCAATAAAATCTTTAGATCAGTCTGACAGGTAATTCAACACATCACTGTCAGATGGCATACTTACTATCATGTATAAAGCGCACATTTTCTTCATGTGCTGGAGTAAAAAGCTCCCCACTGTTAGTAGGGGATCGGGGGCTTGAAGTCCGCTTGTAACTATTCACCATCCTGGGAGCTGATGAGCTTCACAAACATGAAAACACAAAAATTAGCAGCAGAGCAGACACTTATTCATTTAAAGTCCTGTTGTCATGGTTTACTACAAACTAAAATGAGGATTCTTCTGTGTCTCAGGCCCAACATAGAACATACCCAAAACTGTATTTTATGAAACATGGTCATTATTAAAACTGGCCTGTTACTCACTGCACTGGCACTAAAAGTATCGTAACTTTTTTTCAGACCTGGTCATTCTGTTTGCAGTCTGTACTCGCTCCTCGCTCCTCTGTGGTGAGTGGATTTGAAGGATACGAAGGTTCAAATCCTCAGCTGAATTCTGACAATGATAAACAGTGACAATATAAGCATTCCCACATGACACAAGAAGTCAGTTTCAATATTTTACAGTTACATCTAAGCAAACATACAGCTTTGGCAATAGAAATCAGACCACTGCGAGGACCATTTCCTGCCTTTACTCGAGCCACACTATGTTTTTGTCTCTACTTTGTAACAGACAGCTGCTTTGCCATTTCCGAGCTGGTTAGCAATGGCTCTCGCACTGTTTCATGTATACGAATCATGTTGACTGTCTTCTCATAATTATGCAATTCTCTTTTTTAAGGCACTGTTGAGTGGCAATTTAGTTAATAACATCTATTAACTTTACATATGTGGCTTATGCACAAAATGATAGCGACTCAAAATGTTTTGAGCCATCTTGTGCAAGTTAAGAAATATTTTCTGTTTCAACACATCACATTAAAAAAAAAAGTATGTATTGAATTAAATCTGTACTATATAGATGCACCCACATACTCTAACGCTTGTATTCATAATCATAACATACACAAACAATTCCAACTCTCACATAACATACACTACACTTTACTTTCACATTCTCTTTACTCCTCATTATTTATGACTCTTTTCTAAAGTAATGTGTTATTACACAGCCTTGCAAAACTTTCATTCTGCATTTTCCCCACCCATACTGTACGAGCATATGACCCATAGAAAGTTCCAAACCTTGAATCTCTTCAATTACTATGGCATTTTACAAGATGCTTCTGACTACTATGATAAAATCCAAACAAGGCCTGATGTGTAGACTTTGTAAAGAAAAAGCAGGGGGTCTAATACTTATTCCCAAAGCTGCAGAAGCAGTAGACTACTGAGAATGCTGGTTAGTCCTCATAGTACCACTTCCTAGTCAGCGTCCTACTAGTCACTTAGAATTACTTATATCTTCTAATGAGATCAGGTCACATTCGTAACAATATAAGTAATTAGTCATTAGTGGGGTTAACTAAAGCTAAGGTGCGCTACGTGTCTGAAAAAAGTGCAAATATTGACGTTAGCTGAACAAGGAGCTTTTGTTTACGTTCTGACTTGGATAGCTTCAGTAATGCTAGCAGCCGGTTACAGAGCCGAACCCAGTGCATTAACCAGCAGCTCTTATCAACAAGCATCGCCTCTAAAACACTTTTGAGACATGCATCCCTCTACAGCTGTGACCTGGGGGGCAGCTAACTATAGATTTCCTGACACAATAATTCCAGCTAGCTAACTTTAGCCGTGCAGCTAGCTAACTGCTGATTTACATTGTCCTGGCGTAACGTTAGCTTCAAACAGCTAATATTTCATTAGCGTTACGGCTACAACGTATTAATCAGAGGTATCTCAGCGCAACGACAATATTTCCGAGCTTCCCAGTAAATGAGCGTTCAGATAGCCGACAAACCTTTGTAAAATCGTTCCTTTCGATTTCTTTATTCACAGACTGGGTACGCCGTTAGAGCTGGCTAAAACGTTGCCAATGCCAACCAATCAGTTCCGGGAAAAGACACGGAAGTGAAAGGGCTTCCTCAACCTTACAGCCAACAACAATAACGTTAATAATAACATTATTAATCATATAAAAACTATAAGAATATTAAGAGGAAATAGAAAAAACCCCCCACATTTTTATTGTTATTATTATTATTGTGTTTCTTATTGTCATTTTTGATTGACAGTTCCAATTTTCAAAGCAAAATCAGCAAAACCTGACTGAAGTTGGCAGCCTACCACGCATCCCAGGTAATGTTGTACCATAGACAGCAAGTAGAGCTGCAACTATTAAACTATTAGCTTTTCAATAAAATTAAATTGAATTCAGGTTTATTTATACATCCTTGATTCACAGCATATAACATGTGTCACTTCACATAGTAAGAAGAACACAATGCAAAATTATTGAGAGAAACCCAACAAATGCAACAATTCCCTTTGAGCACGCTCTTTTACAACAGTGGAAGAAAACAAACAAAAACTCCCCTTTACAAGGAGGAAACGTCCTGCAGCAACTGGCTCAGGAAGGAAACCCCATCTGCACTGGCCAGTTGGGATTTTTGGGGTAAAGGGGAGAGAGAACAGGTTAGTAGACAGAAAATACAGAAATAATGTACAACAAAACAACAACAATTTAAGAGGGAGGTGAGGCTAGTAAGCACAGGTGAGAAACGTGCAGCTCTGCAGCCAGAAATACCTGCAGAAAGGACAAACTACAAACTACAGGAGAGAGAGGACAAAAAGTTAGTGACATGCAATGGTGGCGTATTTATGTATTTAGAAGGAAACAATGGAGGCCTAAAGCAGCGAAACTAAGAGATGGTTCAGTTGACCCTGACTATAAGCTGTATCAAAAAGGAAAGTTTTGAACCCAGTTCTAAAAGTAGAGAGGATGTCTGCCTCCTGAATCTAAACTGGGAGCTGATTCCACAGCAGAGGAGCCTGACAGCTGAACGCTCTGGAAACCACAAGTAAACCTGCACTCTGAGAGCAAAGTGCGCTATTGGAATAAAATGGTTCAATAAAGCCTTTAAGATACAGTGGAGTTGCCAACTATTAGCTTTTAAAATGTGAATTTTTTCTTTTTTCTTTCTTTATCATCCTCTATGACAGTTAACTGAATATCTTTTTTTTTTTTTTATCTCTTTCAGGTTTGAGATACTTCTTCCTTGTAATTACATTTACATTTCATGCTACTTAACATTTGACTTCACTACATTTTCGAGGGACATCTGACAGCTTTTCCTTTTAGGATTGAAGTTTTCCACATTGGATAATATAACATTTTTAAACTACAACATATTGTTAAAGATTCAACCGCTGCTTGATTAAATAGAGATTATTTCCTTTAAATTTCCAATGAATCACGAAAAAAAAAAAGACAACAGTTTTTTTGTATCAGAACTTTGTTTTTTCTCATTTTCTCTTTCGTTAATCATCTCACAACCCCTCACATTTATCTGCTGCCTCTGTATATAAAACTGTGTATAAATGAGTTCCAACTTGCAGCAGCTTCAACAGCAACGTGCTGCTGACACACTGATGCTTCACTATTAATCATATAATGATGTCATGAACAACAATATATCAGTCAGAGGGGACTAATCATTACTTTTATACTTACATTACATTTTTGCTGCTAATAAATGTGTACTTTAACTTAGGTGGGATATTCCATGCATGCTGGAGTATTTTTACATTGCTGTGTTACTAAAGTAAAGAGTCTGAATACTTGTTCCACCACTGACAGTAATAATTCTTCACACATAAAAGAGGCCGGCTAAAGAACTTCAGTTGGAAGCGATGATTGTAATATACTTTCATTTTTCTCAAACAACAGCACCTCAGTCATATTTATAAAAGATTTCTTTATTTATGAAAACGTACAAAAATAATTATTAAACAGAAAATTATAAGACTTCAATTGCTAACATTTGTATTTTTACTGCAGAAAACGAAAATATTGCGTAAGGGAAAAATAATGCAGCAGCAGAAGAGCTTGTACAACATAAACTGCTGTTTTTTTTTTGTTGTTTTTTTTTTCATTTCTAACCATCAATATCCATCAAGTATCATTTTTATTTATTTGGGAGATCCTCTTTCTGTCCAGCAGTAAGGATACATAAGTCCTTCTATAAGACACATTCATCTCAGCCCAAATTCTCTTCTGCAAATTCAATATATGACGATAGTTTTGGAACATACAGCTTGCAGAGTGCAACCAAATGACTGCTTAACACCAACACAGCTGATTAAATATTTAAACTAAAATGCTCATGAGGATAGAAATCTAATTTTCTCCAGAAATGAGTAAATATTTGGGCCTGAACTATGCATAGCAAGTGACGATTTTCTGATACAGTGACATGAAATGTGCTACATGAGCAGATAAACATTTACAGGCGCTGACACTGGCAGTATGACAAATATACAAATGCACAAAATAAAGTCCAATATAGTGAAACAGAATAAAGCAATCACCAGAAAAATCTTATTGAAGTATGTCTTTACAGCTATAAATGAAAAATAATAACCTCATAGCAGCTGTTGAAACTAAACAAGCTTGAGGAGTTTTGCGATACAACATCAGTGAAATGCAGCGGCGGAAATGTTCTTGTGCTCGGTTTGGTGGGCATTGTATAATATTGCTTCTCTAAGCGGCTGCGGAACTTATTTTTGTATACTGGGTCTATTTGGCAGCCAGTCACACACAGCCACTCTCAAATAGTTTAGCCAGCTCTGTGCAGTCCGGGTCAATGAGGTCTGCCGGCTTCTCTCCGCTTTCATTCTCTGCTTCTGTGCTGGCTCCCATTGCCAGCAGGTACCTGAGTGGAAAATGAAACAAAACATGATGAAACAAATTACAGATTCAAGATTCTAGTAAAAAACATAAATTAAAACATGCCAGAGTTAATCATTTGTGCAACTACTTTTCAATGGCTATGATTTATTTCACTGTCTCAGCTCTGTGACCTCAGAATAAGGAAAAGTTAAAGTTCTATTAGATTAACATTTTTCTGTTTTAGATTAGTTTTAAGTTTTCTTTTATCTTGTTTCATGCTGAATGTCATTTTTGCCTAATGTGACAGTTCAATTTGGTCGCTGCTTCATGTTTTTTATGCCCAGCGTCAATATCCAGTGCAGTTACGTGACCTTTTATTTCACTTCGAGGAATGTTTCAAGCACACTTGCGTCACAGTCGGTATTCTAACTTTAAGTTTCACATGTGTGTGGTTTCAAATGCCTCCAACTTTTCTATTTTTAAATAGCTGCTCTGGTCTGTGTTCTCTCAGGTTGAAAAGTCATGCGTTACCTGGCGATTTCTGGGTAGCCGTCGCTGCAGGCCATGTGAAGCGGCGTCCAGCCGTCCTCGTCTCTCTGGTGGACATCAGCTCCATACTTCACCAGCATCTTCACCACCTCCAGGTTTCCCGTCAGCACAGCTTCATGTAGCGCCGCCATACCTGCAGCACACACAGCAACATCATTTACTGTACAACATCAAACTATTGCAATCAGAACTGTTGTGGTATTTCTTCTCATTTCAAATATATCAAAGACCTGAAGATACAACTGCTGAACAGTGGTTAGGAAAAGTAAAAGAAACTTTGCTCACCTGAGTGGAAGAGTGTATCCACGCGGACCTTCCTTGCCCTCATGAACCGACCAATCTGCTCCAAATCTCCTCGTCTAACAATGTCCTGGAAGATGATGTCATTGGGGAAGTGCACAGTTCTTTTTGCTGGTGCGACAGGTATTACAGGTGCAGGCTTTTCCTTTGCTTGTGTGCGCTGTGTCGAACTGTACCGAGACCCTTTGCTGTATGAAGGCACGTATGTTGATGCAGCTTTGGAGGTGGACGTGTAATGTGACGGGGTGTAGTATGTGGAGCTGTACTGCGTTGGCTTGTACTTCGATACCGAGCTGTATGAGGATGTGTACAGAGGTGGCGTGTAATGTGTCGGGGTATAGTGGGTCGGTGTGTGGTACGTTGGTGTGTACTGTGAACTGCGAGTGTACGTTGACACCGGTACGTGGTAGTTGTACTTCATCCCTGCCGTGGTTGCGGCTCTGTCTCCTCCTTTTCTCTTAGCTCAGGAGGATAAAGGCGAGAAATCCAAGGGAACACAACAATCCAATGAAAGAGCAGTATCCTTTTGCTCTGTGTCCTTTTTGTCCTCTCCTTGCTTGGCTTTTATCCTTTTTAGTTTTCTACAGCTCCTGCTGTTACTGGATAACACAAGCCCCTTTTCAAATCCTTTGCTTCACTTCACTGTGTCCAAATCCCCCCTTTTTTAGCTTGTGTGGTCATCTTTTTTCTCACCGGCTTCTCCTTTATCAAACAGAAATAATTTGTGGCACTGTACGTTTGCTGTTGCACTGAACTGATGTGGCAAGTGGGAGAGGATCCCTATATACACTCTGTAGGGCTATTTTAAGGCAGAATATCCAGTGACTTCAGCTTAGAAATGAGTGGCTCCTGACCGGCTCCTCCCACTGTATGTTCACAAGCCCACTGACACCGCTCCCACCCTGAGATCATAAAAAATGTTGACAACCAAAATGTTCCCTTTGAGTCTCTCTTGAGGCAAAAATGTCCAGACGTAAACATCCAAACAGCCATGATTAATATCAGCGATAAATATTGCCAGAATAAGAGCGATGTACCTCAAATGCACATGATGCTTGGTTATTTACTTATTTTGAACTATTACAAGCTGCTCCATGCGTCACTTTTCTGCAGGACAAATAAACAGAAACTGACAGCAGCAGCACATGATTTCCGTTTGTCATGTGTTGTTGATGTGTCTGCTCACGTCATATCTCATGGCACAATGTAATCTTGGGTGTACTGGACATTAGAAAATGATTTAATAACATATTTTTTACTTAGTAGTTCTTTAAATAGCAGTTACTCAATGTTTTTACTCAGTTTGTCCATGTTCCTTCTTATGTTCCCTGTTGACCTGCAGGTCTGTCATGTGACATTTCACACGCTTGCCCTTTGCATCATAACTAGTAAAATTCACCCTCTGAAGAGGTTATCTGTGGGACGGTAGTCATGACCAACACGACTAAACATAACCTCTTCCATTAAAAGCCACTGAAAAGTCACATGCTTGCCAGAAATGCAGCTATTTACAAGGCTGAACTTTTATGTATTATAAGTGCACAATAACTTTCACTCCAGGGTGATACACAGTGTTCTTATAAATGGAAATCTTTTTTTAGTTTCCTCGATTGTATGTTCAGTATATTAACAGCCTAAATTTGTGTGTTTGACATTCAAAATGTAGAGATTTTTCTGACCGTGTGACATGTATACGTGTGAATTGTGCTGTAACATCATGGTAGTGGCACCAGCTGTCCCCAGACAGAACTCTAAGATGGGCAGAGCTGGTTATAGCTGGTTCACAAAAAACCTTTGGAAGAAGACTTGGACATTGCATAGATGCTGCCAATCTCACAGAGGAAATAGCATGGCTGCCATGCTCAGGTTCTTGGTTTCCAAACACAACTACAACCACTTCAAGTGTGACCTTGCTCCAGAATGAACTGTGATTTGAAGCTATGCTTTGCTTGTACTTCTACATACTAGAATACTCAACCTTTGATTTTATTTGTAGAATTAATCATTTAAATGGCATTTGCTTATCAGCCTTTCTCTTTGTACACATGCTTATGTGGTTTCAAGACTGAAAATGCAGAAAACATGCAGTCTTCTTTGTGATGTAACAGAAAAGACAGTTAGTTTTGGGGTATTTCATAGCATGTGTCCAGTTTTGTGGGTTATATGACCATGAGTATTCGATCCATGTATCATGACAGGTGATAAATAATTACATTCACTTGTGTTATGAGCTGACCGCAGCTCTAAATGTTGCTGCAAGTTATTACTCATCGCCTTCCTGCGCTGCTGGTCTTTAAACTGAGGAAACAGGCTTAGAGCTACTGTGTAGACAAATTGAGTGTGCAAAGGCTTGAGGGAAAGACTTCTAGAAGCATGCAGCTGTCAGGTTTCACAGCCTGTCACACAGTATTGGAGGGATTCAGGGGAGTCCCTGAGCAATGGTGGCATGGCTTCCAGCTTCTCCTCAACAAAACAAACAGGAACTTCATCTTGCAGGAAAATGTTTGCCTGCTACAGGCTACACTCTTGGACACATGCCACGAGTGAAGTCTCACACCAGCTCCTTGCTATACATAGTGTCAGGCTAGCCTTCGCATAACTACCTGCCCTTTAGGGGGACATGTTATGGTCTGTCAAATTACCAAGACGTCAGAGTTGAAAACATTCAGGTGTGTGGAACATGTTGAACTACAACTGATTTCACCTCTTTGTGGTGTCCTCAGCTGCTTCAGTGTTATTTTTTAGTTGGTCAGTGTGGTCTGAATTATATTGTTAGGAGATATTCTTAAAGCCAACGTGGGTTTGTGACGAAGGTGAGGCTATTCATGTTGTATTTACTCAGTTAATGGCTCCATTAAATGGTCAGAGTATTATGACCCACCATAAATATGTACAGAATCACTGAGTTCTTTTTGGACTGCAATGAGTAAAATAAAAATCTAGTGGTAAAATACTCGACTTTCTTCTTTTTCTGTATTTTTTGGCCTAAAATAATTCAGATTAAAGTATACAGAGACTAAACTGTCCCTGTACACGCTATACTACACTTGGTGATGTAAGTGTTCATTTTTAATGGGAAAATATAACCCACGAGCGCTGTTAGAACTCCCTGTAAATATATAAACTTCTTAACAACAAAACACAAAAGCAGAATGTTTGGCAAATCACTCAGTTCTCTCAGGTTCCCTCTTGCATGATACATTAACTACTTTTTCATAATAAAAAGTGTTGTTGTTATTTTTTCGCTGACTGTGACGTTGTTTGGTGTTGGATCAGAACCAGTTTTGGTGGTAGAACGACAGCTGTTCACAGGTGCTGCATGTGGATGGGGCATCACATCACCAGCATTTCAGGCCAAAACAAACATGTCAGCATGTCAGCCATTCACTTTCATTTACTACAGGAACCCAGCCATTACCCAATGCTAGCTTTATAAAATACATTGAATGGCTGTAGTGTTGTTGTCATCTGAAGTGACATTAACCGTACTTAACCTGTCCTTCCTTTGTTTTGCTTGTGTGTCGTCCACTTCCTGCCATATGTGACTGTTTCACTGTAACCTATCTCACTGAATATAGGCAGCTGCTCAGTTGTACATCATTTCATTGTCTACCAACTCTATTATCTATTGATTTTTGGTGAATTAACAACTTTTTGACAGTGTTTGCCTCCTTTCATGCAAATTTCCCACCAAAACACTTTCACTATTTTGCAGAAACACTGTCGCTTCGTTTAGCTCTGCCCAATACAATTGTGATTGGTGTAAAGAAATACAAGCCAGATCACTTTTCTTATTGCAGAATGATACTAAGGTGCAGCCCATGCTGTTCTGCAGAACAGTCTAGCTGTGCGAGACTAGTTTCATGGTGACACACAGCAGAGAGCCTGAGGTGAAGGTGAAACAGAGCGCAGACGAGAGTAGAGCAGCAACAAAGCAGTAGAAACTTTCACACCAGGCTGAAATGACACATGCAAAGAAAACACTTTGCTTTTGCTGAATGTTCCGGACTACACTTTCGCTTTTGCAGTGTGGTGATTACTCTCATTTTCTTAAAAAATGCAGGGAGGCCCTAGATTGTCAACAGGAGGGACTTACTTGCATTAATGTCCACCATCATCTTTATGTGACCAGGGGGAAAAACAACTGAGGGCAAGTCTCTTATTCACAATACTAGAAAAGATGTAAAAACAATATTTGTCTTATTGTTTTTCCACTGTTTAGGAACTACATTTTTAACATTATGTTATTTTGTTACACAGTGCTGCCCATTTATTGTCACACCCTCATTCCAGGATGGAATTATGACTATATCCGGGATATTCCAATAAGCCGGCTTCAAGATTAGCGTACCTAATTGATGCCAGACAGTGTGTGAACAACTCAGTGAAGCAGATCTCAGGTGAGCAGGTAACTGACAAAAAAACACACTGCCTTCCACGGCTGACCTCGGTGTGATAATCTGCCACGCATGACCGATGCTCGGCCTGTGAGCTGTAACGATTGGCCGACCATGACTTTAAATGGGCAAAAGTTATTCCTGGAATCAATTTTGGGGAACTTCGTGATGAGAAAAAATGGGATTATGACATATGTGTTATTCTATGACAATAAACAGATTGTTTTACTACAGGGAAAAGGTAGAAATGATTCAGACTTCAATATTTTCTGATTATAAACGGGATATTCTATGAAGTGGTATGACAGTAAGTGGGCAGAACTGTATATATTGTGGTGTGTTTTGTGGTATTAACATATACGTTGCACAAAGACAAAGCAGATGCATTAAGGAAAACGTAAGCATTTACTAACAGGCACACCAGATCGGCTACCGAAATATATAACAAAGAAGTTCAAATTACATCACACAAAGAAACCAGATTTTTTACTTTTGACTTTTGCTAAGGAAGTCATTACTCCACAACGATACAATACTGATGTTCAAAATCTTGTATACAACAAATACATTTATTTAGAATTGTGAACATCAGCTTTAAAATATTTACATCTACATTGATTCACGCAAAATGTTTTATGGAACTGAGTTAAAAGATGGCAGTGTTTCAACGTTTTACCTAAAAATAGCCTAAAAACAAACTTTCCAGATCATGTAGTCGACAATTTGTCCGCCTTTAGTCACGCATGTGACTTTGCTGCAGTGTCCGGACGTTTCACTGTGACGTACTCAAAGACAAACAGCTCAGAAGACACAAGGCTGAAGCCAGAACAATGAGAATTTTAATAGTGGCCTGTCACAGAGGCTTATCAGTGGGCTATACATGTTACAAAAAAGCCAGCTATGCATTCCTTAACACTCCGCTTGACTCGCGTGATGTAGGTAAGAGGCAGGTTGGATGTGACTTTAACGTCTAAAAATAAGAGCTGTGAAGCATCCTGTCTGTGTAGAGCATGTTATGAATGCAGGCCGCTATCCTCATAAACATTGTTGTTTAAAAAGGTCAGTGTAACACAAGTCATATGTATTTTTGAAAATTCAGTTCGAATAAGCCATAAGCATGAGTGTACTTTCACAGCTTTTGTTACGAGGGCACAGGGGGTCTTGGAAACGCCAACCATCGCCGCCGATTTTTCTCTGCGTCTTTAATGAGGTTTTACTCAGAGCCTGGGCATGAGGCTTTTTCTCAGAAACCATTTCGCTCTACTGGGTACATGCAATACAACACTGACAACAGGAGCAGGGGTGTATTTCTTAACAGGCAGCATATGAACACTTCACCGCGTTGTGGGGGATTAGTCCCGAGTCTGGATCCT